TACTTGTGGGCAGTAAACAATTGATATACATACTTAAATATCTTTTTGTTAATACATATAATAATTCTTATATATAATGAATGCCTACATACATAAAAGTTACAGAAATACATAAAATGAAAAAAAACTAACAGGTACATATATGATAACCGATTGTATTTTTCGGGGATTGAACTCGCAACCAACCAAAGCTAAGCTAATTAATTAATTTACGAAGATACGCTTAAAATGTGAGCGTCTAGCTTAATTAAACTTGATAAGAAAATATATTTTATTTTGTTTAAACAATTAAAAATATTATTTTTATTTCATAAACAATTTTTTGTAACAGTTTTAAACATACAAAAAAAAATGAAAAGAGACACAAAAACCTAACCGAAGTTTAGTAAATCTTAAGCTCTCCGAAATGCTTTGCATATTTTTGTATCGATGGCCCATAGCTACATCACAACAGAAGGGTTTACTTTTTTTGGTAGGTATATTCGTATACCTAATGTAAGTAGGTATCTCTTGAATTTTAATATTTAAATTTAATAAGTATAGACTTTATACCGAAGTGAACACTATTATATATATTTTATATGCAAAAAAGGTCGTTTTGAAACAATATAAAAAAAGTTTATCTACAACGTATTATCACAAATAAAAAAAAAATATTCATAACGTTTATATAAATTAGGTATAATTTATTTTATTTCAAAAAACATTTAAGTAGGTATTTTATTGTAATTAGTTAAAAAATTTTATTTTCTGTTTTATCTTTTTATTTTAATCTAAATTCTCAACTTTAAAGTGACTAAAAACTGACAAAATAGTTTTCATGTCTATTTCTACAGTCTTGTACTTTTATTTGTATTTTACTTCTACTAAAGAAAAAAGATACAGTCCCATACTTACATTTCTGGGTCTATGTGTTGTTTTTAATGGGTGAAAATGGAATGGTAACCCCGCCCGCGCTATTGATATACACCGGCGGGGCACCAGTGGAAGTGGAAGATTTATTCTCACCTACCATTGTTCAACTATCAGTTTACCCACCATGGTAAATTCAACAAAAATTAAGCATGATGGTTTCCAAAAGGAATCGCGCCGAGGTCGACTAATGAGGGTATATTGCTAGCAATGGGGCTATTAGACCTCATTACTAACAATCCATTTCCCCCCGGATCTATGTATTAACAGCATGATGTACTTCGAAGAAATAGTATATATCAGATAAATGACTACTAATTATCAGCACAAATCCCTGGGTCAAAAGTTCCAGCCTCCTTCAAAATATTGCTATTTGCTTTCTTTATTTGGAAATGGATCAGCTTTACCTCAACGAACAGATAACCAACGAAGAAGAAAGAATCTCAAGTGGCAACTGCATACAAGCAGGGAGAAGAGATCGTTAGTAATGCGGACTACTAGTCCCATTGCTAGCAATATACCCTATCAGGTCGACCTCCATGTGGTTCTTCCTGGAAACCATCGTTTCACACATTTATTCGAATTTCACATTTATTCGTCACAATGGGCTAATTAACCTGCCTTTTCACTTCACTTATCATCCCTCACTGATGCCCCACCAGCGTATATCGTTAGCGCAGATTAGGTACTATATTATCGTTGTTTTTTATAAATCTTAGAATGACAGATACGCTAACAACCCACTTGATGGAAAACGGAAACCAACGCTTTTTAAAATTAACAGCACCGCCAATAACTTTAAACACACTGTGACGTCCATGGTATCTTCATGTACTGATATGCCTAAGGACTAAGATGTTTATACCCTATAATTTTTTTTTTTTTGATGGGTGAAAATGGTATGGTAACTCCGCCTGCGCTAACGAGATACGCTGGCGGAGCACCAGTGAAGGGTGATAGATGAGAATGAAAACAGGCCAGTTAGCCCATCATGATAAATTCATCAGGAATTAACCATGATAGTTTCCAGGGAGAACCGCGAGGAGGTCGACCTGATTGGGTATATTGCTAGCAATGGGATTTTCAGTCTCCATTACTAACAATCCCTTTCCCCCCAAATAAACGGTGATACCCTATAATTTCAGTACCATACCCGATCCTTCAAATGGAAACAAAATAATGCAATTATGGCTCTTTCGTGTAAAAAAAAAAAAACACGACTAGGATAGAAATACCCAAGTAGATTAAGATTGGTTTTTGTATAAATTCTCCCTCTAGTGTACTTAAGTAAGAACTACAAAATTATCTTACTATAGTACGTTTTTTTAACATAAATATCCTTAAAATAAACCTTAACTTTTAAAGACACAAGGTGTAAAGAAGTCAAACCAGTTTAGCTCATGCGTTGCCCTCTAATTGACAAATTGGAATCTTATTAAAATAAAGTTCAAGTTCCTAACTGAACGGGCGCTGCGGAGTGCTGCGCAGGCGCAGGCTGATGTGTGTGATATCAGACAGAGGAAGCCTGCCGACCGGGTGCCGACGAGTGCCGATCGGGCACGATCAATGCGCAAGCGGTGAGAATAAAAAGTCGGCAGCATTCGAAGCGCGTGCCTCCATGTGTGTGGTCCACTATGGAGGTCCTCTTCGGGATTTGATTTATTGAAAACAAATTTTCACACCCTATTTTTGATAATTTAGTTATTTTTTAGCAAAATTAAAGCTTTACTTATGATCTTTGATATTGTCTTAGATATACTAGGTATAATAGCTAATAAAATGCTTTTTATTAAAAATACTACTGTCTACCCAATTTAGAATTATAATCGTATTATTTGTCTTTATTTATAATTTTAAATAATTTTAACAAATTTTTACTAAAGAAATATAGGTAAGCAACAAGAATTTGTATTAATCTGTTCTGGTGTGAATATATAATTTATAATAACAATGAATTTACAACTATTAAAAACATTGTATTTAGAACTTAAACTATTTAATAAAGATTTATAATTCCTAGTCACTTTATTTATTTATTTTATTTTTAATTAATTTAACATGGATTTTTTTTTTGTTATTTTAAAATTCAGCGATAGACTGGGAAACTTTCCTTAAATAACTCATAAGCGGAAATATAATAAAACATAAATAAACCCAACATCTTAATACTGGGAAGAAAGGGATTGTTAGTAATGAGGTCTAACTGACCCATTTCTACCAATACACCCTATCAGGTCGATCTCCACGCGGTTCCCCCTGGAAACCATCGTAGTTAATTTTAATGGAATTCGTTACGATGGGCTTACCTGCTATCATCCTCACCTATTACCCTTCACTGGTGCCCCGCCAACGTATACCTATAGCGTAGGCAGGATTACCATTTCATTATTACTCATTAAAACAAATCTTAATACTCAAAAACATCAGCCTGTGACTTCCATGACCCATGGGCTCGCATTAGCATGGATGTCAGAATGATTTTTTTGATACTCGTATGCATACTGTTAATAGACGAATTAAATAATTCTTTGTCTAAATTTGGGGACAACCAATTTTTAGTATTTTTTACTAATGTAAATTTCCAAGTAAAAGTATAAAATTTATAGTCATAGAAAGCAATAAGACAAAAAAGTGCCTTCTTTTTGTTCAAACTGATGCAACAAAATTATAGTGCCAACGCAATAAATTTTTTCTAACTAGATTTAACAAGTAAGCAGAAAGCAGAAGTCTGGAATTTGGTTAAAAGGTAAGGCAACAATGATATTACTATAAAATAATCTAATTAAGTAATTCTGGTAATCACTTTCTTGTTATGCATCGAAGAGATTGAACCTATTTATCTGTACTGCGTTGCCCTACAAATTAGTCTAAAAACATATATCACACTGAAAAATGAAGTTTTATTTTTATTTTTTAAACATGTCTAATAAACAGTTGTACTATCTGCGATTTGATCCTCGTGAGTCGTGGTTACAGATACGTGTATTTGGAAATTATTCTAATTCATAAAAATAATATTATAATTTGAATTAATTTATACTAGAAGGTACTGTTTGGAGTTTAACTTCGTGACTATATAACGGAGGCCTCCAAGCTGTAGATATATCCATTCGACCAATTCTGATAAGACATACTCAAACCTGTTTTAAATTACAAATTTCAACGTAATATATTAAATTATATAATGTCGTTCAAATCATCAATTGATTTAATATAATTTACTATTATAATGGAGTAAATTCAAAAAATAATAATAATAGTTTATATGAGTGATAGGCCTCTGTCCTTACATACCTACATCTCTTGCTTCATACACTTCTGTAATTTATTTCATGCATGCACATTGATTCCGGGGGCTCTTGTAATATAATAATAGTAAATAATTAATTAGAAACATTATATTTAGGTACACCGAGTTTTTTTTATTTTATAAACTTTGAAAATAAAGAACTCCAATATCCTTTATCACCTACGTTTATAGTATTTTTTCTTTCATATTTTCTATCATTAGTCCAAAACTACTTTGCATATGCGCATGCGTAGTTTACGCAACATAAAAAAAAACTTTTTTAGAAAAAAATATTTTAGAAGGCCTTTCCGACCTTACTTGAACTAGTAGTTTTGAAATTTTGAAAATCCCTTTTTTAATACAATAATTTTTATTGCAATATTTGTGGGTAAACATATCCTAAAACTATTACATATTTCAAATCAAGAGCATTATAAATTTTTGAAATATATTAATGAGATATCTATACAAACGGACGAAGAAGATCAAACCATACATAAGTCGCATGTAATAATCCTTTGTATGATCTTAATACGTAACTACATACGTATGTATCGTCGTGTGTGCCCTGGCATAGAATGGGCCTTCCTTTCCGTGGTTGTCGTAAGAGGCGACTAAGGGAGGGCGACGACTGGCAAAACTCCCCTTATGGATAGGACTTATGTTCAGCAGTGGACAGTTACCAGCTGAAATTTTTATATATATATAATACACCCTATGGCACAGACGAGATCAAAATTATCAGTTATCAAATTAAATATTTAATTCAAATACAATTAAAATACATACAACAAAAATAATTTATAACATTGTTAAATCAACAATGAGAGGATGTAGGATCGTCGTGTACATGTTTTCTGGGGGTCACTTTAATGTTATTAGAGTCGTCTTTAAAAGAAGATATATCGCTTGCAGAGACAGCGCTCAATTCTGAATATCTGGGGATCAACTCAAAATTATTTATATCATGAGAAGAGTAATCTGTATTACATTTCCATTTATTGGCAATCATTTGCAATGGCTCTAAACATTGTAAAATTTGTTTTACTCGCAATAATTCAATATTACATTGATTCTCTATTTCTAATATTTTAAGTCTATAAGCCTTAGCCAGCATTTGTTTTCTGATAATATTTTTCTTTTCTAACTGAGCCAAATTCAATGTATTCTGGTACTTTTGCAACTGTTTTTCATATTCCATAAGATTTTCATCGCATTTCAATTTATTATCCACACAATTTTCATAAACATTTGTTGGACTTAAAAAATCTTCTGTATAAATATCAGCTAAAGGGACATCTCGACATGCCGTCGGGTGAAAATGCGTAAATTCCAAAACAGGTGAATTTTGATAATTTTTGCTATTTCCTAATTTAGCCTTTTCTTCTTTTAACTCTAATTTTAAAGATTCTATTATCTCTCGACATTGTTTAATTCTTTCTTTTAATTTCAATTCATTTTTGTCCATCATATCGGGTATAATTTCATTTTGATCTGATGATTTTTTATCAATACTTTCTGGCATTAGCCCCATATCTTCTAATTTTTCAACTTCTTCATGAACATGTCTTGGAGATAATGAAGTGCTGTCGCCAGAAGCTAGATTTAGAGCATCCATTATAATGATTCCAAATTAGATAATTTCAATAATATTTAAATATTTGATAAAAGTACAAAAATCCTTGTAAACTAATAGGTATCTATATTAAAAGTATTATTCATGTACTTGCGTCATAATGACAGTATTAGTCCTTTCTTATAGAGTAAGAAGTTTGGAAATATCATGTAGGTAGGTAATATATATATAATATCAATATACTTATATATAATATCCAAGCTGGTAAAAACTAGAATACCTAAAAATCATAGAAAAAGGTCCACAGGTAGGTACTATCCTTAAATTATAAAATGGGAAATTTTGTGAATTTTTGATTCATGAAATTTTTGTAAAACCCATATTCAATACCGTAGTTAAATTCAATTAGTTTTACGTATGCCGAACGTCTTCAATTTCAACCTATAAAATAATTACCCTTCAATTGAAAAAAGAGGGTAAAGTTTTTGGATGTCTATTTATTATATATAAATATCTACTATAGCTAAAATATTGGTGCAAAACTAGTGTTTAAATATATATCAGAACAAAAAACATTTCAGTAACACCTTTGTCGAAAACAAAATTAGTAAGTTCTGTTCAAACTCCAACCGCCTCCTAAATATCAACACCCACATTGCATAAAACATTATTTGATACTGCCTTTTTGTACCCAATTTTACTCACGTTCTTCGTAGTACACCCTTTTGGAAATATCCAGATCTCACCGCAAAATTTGATGAAAAAATAAAATGCATTCTGAGCTCACTCTTTAATATTACTTTCGAAGACCGTATTTGGACTCAGGCCTCTTTGCCTATCAGGCATGGGGGCCTGGGTATCCGTCAAATCTCCCATATCTCTCTACCAGCTTTTCTGTCATCAGCAGCAGCATGGTACGCAGAATCTCGTGAAAAAAATACTAACACCTTTTTTCGGTGATTTCGAGATAGCTTACCTGCCTGAGGCTAGAAAAGCTTGGTCTCTGGCTTGTCCCCACGTACCTTCTCCCATAAATCCCAAAATCCAGAGGCAATGGGATGAACCCATTAATGATCTATACAGAACTTCGTTACTGGACTCATCCTAGAACTCCGCTGAAAGCGCCCGTCTACTCGCGGTGTCCAAGTGGGAATCTGGCCTATGACTACACAATTCCCTCACCTCATATCAGAACATTATTGGATAACACAACATTTAGACTCTCAATCTCTCTCAGATTGGAGGCCAAAACGAATGCTCCCCACCACTGCAGGTGTGGGGACAACGTCAGTGCCTTGGGACACCATGGCCTATCTTGCCTCAAGAGTGCTGGGCGCTTGCTGCGCCACTCAGCTATTAATGACATTCTCCGTCGGGCTCTTGTCACCGCAGGCGTGCCTGCCATTCTAGAACCTCCTGGTTTGATACATGACGACGGCAAGAGACCTGACGGTATGTCCTTGGTACCTTGGAAGATGGGACGTCCGCTTGTATGGGACTTCACCTGCGTCGACACGGTGGCGCCGTCTCACCTTCCAAGTACGTCCAAGAGGACTGGTGCCGCCGCAACACACCAGGAGACTATCAAGCGCCGTAAATATTCATCCCTTGGAAATGGATATATATTTGCGGCGTTTGGAGTTGAAACTCTGGGTCCGTGGGGCCCCGAGGCAATGAAGCTTTTCAAAGAGATTTCACGCCGGCTGGTGGAAACCTCTTGTGACCAGAAGACTGGCCTATACTTTGGTCAACGCATTTCCATTGCTATTCAGCGTGGAAATGCAGCAAGTATCCTAGGCACCCTACCAGCTGGCAATGATCTCACAGAAATTTTTTATCTTTAAATAATTTTTAAAATTTTTATTTTTAATTACTTTTTCTTGTTATTTGTAAATAAATATTTAGGATAATACTTCAACTAGTAATGTAAAATTTGTTACTGACTAAAGTAAAAATATATAAATTCAGAATTTAAGGATTATAGTTGGAAAAAGTTTTTTAATGCTTAACTTTCAAAAAAGATGTACCTAATTGTTGTAATTGATGAAATAATACTGTAAAATAAATAGATAAACATGAAGTTAGAATTGGCGGGAATGTCGACCTAATAGGATAAATTGTTAATAAGAGAGCGCATTTAACAATAACCCTATTGACTATTATATAGGGTCTCTCCCGAAAAGGGGTCGATGATACATCCATCCAGTGGATAAAACTCTAACCGTATTATAAAAATAAACCTTCATGATATAACACATGAAATTTATGGTATTAGAGGATGCTCACAGAGGTGTTTTATCGCTTCTTTTGTGACTTCTACCAGTAGATAAACTTTTGAAATGAATAACTTGTGCGATACCGCTACCCCCAAGGGTCGGAAGGCGGATCGGCTAGCACCAGGGCGCTGGTTCGCTTAGACGTAAACTTATCCCATTTAGAACGACACCCTATATACAATAGGTATATAGAGCGCCAATTTAAATAATCCTTTGTCGACAAAGCAGGCGCTGACGAAATCGAAGGACCAAGTGCGTGAGCACCAACTATATCGATGAATACGATAAACACCATGACCCGATAACTATGACCAACTATTACTAAGAAGACGGGTGAAGGATGTGCGAAGAAGGGCGGCTAGAAGACTGAAGAAGGGATGAACTTCGAACAGAGGCGATGAATGAATCGACTGTTTGAAGAATCTTAATGATATAGTAAGGCAGGAGTTTGCTTCTGTTTCTTCAGAGATTTTGCTCGAGGGAAAGAGGTGTCGAATGGCTCGATCTGTGCTATATTTATATCGATCTACTGGCCACAAGCAGACCAATGCAGCAAACTAGCAACCTCACCCTATCTATCTCGAACTGTTTTTCGGTTTTGTCAAAAATTTTACAGTGTAGAATAAGATGCTTACGGCTAGTGGTGTGGCTATTTACATTGTGCATCTGTTATCAACCAACATTTCACTCTGAAAAAAAATTAATAAACGCGTGTCTCAAAAAAAGATAAATAACTATAGGGTAATAGATTTGTATAGCAATTTAATTACGTAATTGTAACTTTACATGTATATGATATATTTTTTAGCTATAGAAATGAAGCACAAGTTCTCACAGTTAATTTATTTTAGATATACTATTAAATCTTATATTTACTTATTTTACTTTGCATATGACATATAATAAATAATATAACATAAATACCCAACTTCTGTTAATCCATTCACATTTATTAAAATAATAGCTTCTTTAGGACTCCCATCAACAATAATTGTGATATTTTTATATAATGACCACGTGGTTTACTATACATGTTCACTCTTGATACGGCAGGGAGCTCCGCTCTGTTCAACAGTTGGAAAAGAAGTAGTGCCTCCCCACCCAAATAACAATCTTTTATATCCACATGGCCGAATTCGAGTAAACAAGTCAGCGAAACTACGAGTTCTTACAATTTCATTACTTTTTATTTAAGTATCATGATAATAAATAATTATAAAATCAATTAAAATATAAATTAGTGTTATATATATATATATATATATATATATATATATATATATATATATATATATATATATATATATATATATATATATACATATATATATATATATATATATACATAGTGTTACATAAATCGTGTAATAATAAGTGTATCTGTCTGGTTTTATTTAAAAATCCCCTAAAGTTCACCCGGTACTTCAGTGTATAATATTTAGGTATCTACTTCTATTCCACCTCTCATCATCAGTCTGGTAAGCCACTCTGTGTTATCTATATTCAATATCAGTTTGAGAGAGGCGCGGCGTCATTATAACGATGAATTACGCGCATTGCATATTAATAGAATAGAATTCTATACTATCAGGACGCTATTTTCTGTGTTATCTATAAAACTATACACATCAAAAAAGTCTAAGCAACGCATTATTAACTATTTTTTTTTATTTATTTTTTAATAATCTTAATTAACAATAATTACGAATGTATTGTACTCAATATAGATACATGGATTAAATATATAAAAGGCCAAAGTTAATTAGCAATACAATTTTTTATTCTCCATTTTTATGACAATTTTATTTATTCTTTATTTGAAATTAAAAAATATAATAAAAAGTTTTTATGCCAGTATTAATTTTTGTTGGAGTTTCCAACATGCTCGCCACACCAGCGGTTTATTAGTGGATAAATTACCAGAACAGTAACATGTGCTGCACAATATATAACATATAACAGAAAATGTCTTTACTTCATACTAATACAACTTGCATAAACATAACAGAACCATAAAAATATTACAGTTGATGGTTATATTAGTAAATCCAATATTTTGGGTGATGCCCAATTACATTACAATAAGTATAACAATAACAAATTGTATAAATAACTAAACAATTACAAATAACATATTCTTACTTCTCTTTATCGTTGTACATTAAAAGAAGAAGAAAAAGAAAGCAGTTTAAAATGAGCAAATAATAATTAAATCTAGGCATCATTTATAGGAAGAATACATATACCAGATAAGGAACGTTTATAAGTTTTACCATTAGGTGTTACAACTTCGAAAGCTCTAACCTTCCCATCTCTACCTGGAAAAACCTTACTTATTCTAGCCATAGGCCAGTGCAAAGGAGGATTGTTTGGGTCCTTGAGTATCACCAACATTCCTACTGTTACATTAGGATAACTTTTTTGCCATTTGGATCTAAACTGCAAAGCATTTAAATAGTACTTATGCCATATTTTCCAAAAACATTGTTTTAAATTTTCACATTGTTTCCAAAAACTTAGTCTATTAATAGGTAAATCTGATACATCATTTCCAGGATAAGCTACAATAGCATTGCCAGTCAAGAAATGACCGGGAGATAGATAACTAAAATCCGTTATATCAGTATTCAACCAACCTAAAACAATCTTAGAATCGGTAAAGAGATAAACATTATCAATTGAAAGTTTGAGCTGTAATATTTCATATGTCCTCCGTACTAGACTTGATAGCAATAAGGCCGCATTCAACTCTAACCGTGGTATTGTTATTGGTTTCGAAAACGAATTAATTCTGGACTTCGCACTTAAAAGAAACATGTGTACATTACAATCAGAGTCTACCGTTCTAAGGTATACACAGCATCCGTAGCCTATTTTACTTGAGGCATCAGCAAAGCCGATCAATTGCACAGAATTAATCATGCTATAATTATCCTTTTGCAACTCTAGCTCGTCAAAATGTTGTTTACTAATTGGAATATCAGACAAAATTTCTGGATCATTAGCTGACCATTTATGTGTTTCGAAACTTCCTTTTTGTAGCAAAGACTGTAATTGTTGCTTAGCTTCTTTTATTTCACTAAGATCTGATGACGAATAGAGGATATCATCGACATAAGTACAGTTTCGCAATATAAATGAAGCTATAGGAAATTCTTGACCAAATAGTTTAGTAAGTTCGAGTAAACAACGAGTTGATAAATAACTTGAACTTTTCATACAGTACGTAACAGTATTTAAACGTATACATTTTATTGCCTCATCAGGATTATTTCGCCAAAGAATATTTTGAAAAGCCCTGTGTTTGGGATTCACCAGAATATTCCTAAACATACGCCTTATATCCGTGGAAAACGTATATTTACCAATTCGGAACAATAAAATTACATCAAAAAGCTCTTTCTGGACTGAAGGCCCATTCAGTAATAAATCGTTTAATGAAACCTTTTTATCCGTCTTCATTGAGGCATCAAAAACGACTCTTGTGCGAGTAGTTTTACTCGATTCATTAATGACCGCATGATGCGGTAAAAAATATACAGCATCTTTGTCAAAATCATAGAAATCAAAATTAATAAAATCGCCATGACCTAGCTCTACATATTCATGAATAAATTTATTATATTCTGACAATAGATTAATATTATTTTGTAAACGCCTTTCCAAACTTAAAAATCGATGCCAAGCTAAAACAAAAGAATTGCCCAAGTAATTATGAATTTCATTATCCTCGACTTTAAGAGGTAAATTCACCTGGAATCTATTATCAATCAATTCTACAGAATTCTGAAAGATAGTTTCAGCTAACTCTTGTTCACTTTGATTCTCAGAAAAGGTTTGTGGTACACTCTCAGCTTCCCAAAATAATTTGATATTATCATTGATTTCAGGATCGCATTTAATACATAATAGTGATGTTACCTGTTTTGAAGCTTGCTGATATTCAAGCATTGAACCACCAATAATATGTCCAAAACGTGTATTGATAATGCAGGGCGTAATGTCATCTTGACTAGGTAGCGGCCGGTGCAGATTTCGAGACCACGGTCGCTCAGGCTCATTGGGCATTATCACATGGAAAAATATGTCAGCACCCATTAAGAGATTTATTTCAGATGGAACTTCAAATTGATCATCTGCCAACACTATATTGGGAGGTAATTTCAATTGCCGAATATCAAGTTTTGTTTGTGGATGCTTGCAGGTAATTTTTTCGACTACATAAAAATTGACAGTCATATTAAAAGAAGAATTCACAGAGTGTATGTTTAATGGAATACAATATCTTGTATTATTGTGAGCATATACACCTATTATATTTGTATTGTGGGGTGTTGGAGTTAAACCCAATTGCTGGATTAACTTGCTCGTAGCGAGGGAGGCTTGTAACCTGTATCTAAAATCGCCTTCACTATTATCGTCTTTTTATCCTTTGTGAATAATTTCACTTTTACTGTGGGAAGCAAAACCTTAGAATCGTGGCCCTTGGATAATAAGGAAACAGGACCTTCGTCACATTCGTCATGATGAACTAGTGAGTTGTGTGCCTTTTTGCACTGATCGCATTTGAAATGAAATTTGCATTTTCCATTGTGCCTATTTAAACAAATCAGACATAACTTATTGTCTTTACAGAATTTATAGCGTTCCACAGAAGTTATTAATTTGAATGTATTACAGGAAAATAATTTATGATTGTTGGACTTACAGTAATGACACGTCACCGCCTTCTCACCAGTAGCCGCTACGTTGATTGATAAACCCTTGGCCTTTGTAGATGGCATCCTAGTTGACGGCGCAGCGTTCTCCAATGCAAGTGCCCTCTTCTCAAGATACTCGATGAAGTGCTTGACGCTGTGTTCCTCGGCAATATCTCTTTCCATTTGATACGACCGAGCCGTGTATGTATCTAACTTACGATTAAGAATACAAACAATTATTGGATCCCAAGTTTCAACCTTCACATCTAAATTTTGCAGAGCAGCCAAAGTCTGCTTAAGACTCGCTACAAAATTTCGAATGTTTTCAGGGGTTGATTTGACAAGCGCAGGTAAGTCTAGTAATTGACCAATATGTTCATTTACAATACGATACCTATTGTTATATCTCTCGTCTAATAATTGTCTAGCTTGATCATAGCTACTGGCTGTTAATGGTAAGTTCTTAATAAGATCATACGGTTCGTTTTTTAAATAAGACCTAAGATAATACAACTTCTGAACATTATCTAGTGTTAAGTCATTATGAATCAATGAAGTAAACAATGATTGAAACGCTACATATTCAACATAATTACCAGAAAATATGGACATTTGAATCACGGGCAACTTAGTTTTTGATCGTGCAATAGTACTAACATGACCTTTAGAGTCCTCTACACAAGAAGTCTTACGGCTAATCACTTCCTTAAGAACGGTAAGAGTATATAGATATTTATCTTCAACAGCTGCTACGTCCTTGTCATCATCTGGTCGCATTGAAAGAATCCGCATATTAAATCCTTCATATTCACGGAAGGCTGTGAGCAGTCTTTCTTTACGCGTTGTAAGGGCCTGTAAGGTACTTTCTTCTAATTCAGACTCGTTGCTAACAAAACTGTGAAGACGAGTAATCGCCCCTTTAACATAGCCTCGCGAGGCGCGTAGTGAAGTTTCACTATCAGTGGCCATTGCACGACGATTGCCACAAAATTAAAATATGTAGATGTAATGGAAAATGTTCAAATGTATTTATTGAATATAAAAATCGTAGTTCCCACCTCGTGTCATAAATGAATTTGCCGTTGTTCGATGTATATTTTTCTTGCAGGCCAACTGAGATAATCGCTTGTCGTCGTCTATATAAATCTCTTAATTGACAACTAAAGAAATTGTAGTTACCACTCGGAGAAATATATAATATTTACTTGTAGACTTCAACAAAATTGCAATCGCCTGTCGAACGCACGGAGGAGAATAGATTTCATATATGTTGTATTCTTGAAACAATGGCGCTTCTCGTATCCACGTATATTGAACTGAGATTTTTTGTAATTCGCTGTTTCTTGCCTTACGATGCTCGAAATGGACCAAATTTGTATTGTACTCAATATAGACACATGGATTAAATATATAAAAGGCCAAAGTTAATTAGCAATACAATTTTTTATTCTCCATTTTTATGACAATTTTATTTATTCTTTATTTGAAATTAAAAAATATAATAAAAAGTTTTTATGCCAGTATTAATTTTTGTTGGAGTTTCCAACAACGAATAAGTACTGTATGTACGTAGTATTAGTGTAACGCTGATGAAGACAAGAAATAACGCTTCTGTTGACACCAAAATACCGAGATACCTGAGATTGACTTCTTCCCGCTTGTAACATCCCTACAGCTCTTTGCATTTCATATGCGTTGAAATGACGTCGCTCCATGACGTAAAAAATGTCTCAAAATCCAAATTTGTTCAAAACTTTTTTAAAATTATTGTTTAAATCATAAATCATAATAAAATTGATACAGAAATAGTTTTTACGTACATTTATCTAAAAAAAATTTACACTAACCGGATCTTTATTGTAATAACCGCTATGTTCTAATTTTCCAATATAGTTAAGTCAAAATTACTATAATTTTAGTTTATGATGATCTGTGAATTAGTAGGTAATTTCGCAAAATTATTAGATTCAAATAGGTATTAAGTCTGCGTCATTTCTTACGACTGATGATCGGTCGTCTCTCGAATTGAGGACCAATAGACGGCAGAGGTCATCAGTTCGGAGGCCGATTACATACTGATTTGTTGCAACATCCGGCCGTTCATTTGCCCTCCTCATGCTCCTCAAATATTGCACCCACCATATCTTTTCTTGTATTCCGTCACCCGTATCCAATAGCGAGGACAGGATGCCTAAACATGATTTTTGAAAAGTCTTGTTTTATTCATATCACCCATCAAACCTTTTGAAACCTATACTGTGTATGTAAAATTACCTGGCTATATATTGCACTTTAACAAACATACTTTTGCATGCTACTATTTTTTTTCTCTTACCAACCCGTGGTATGTTACCTATACTATGTCTACGGTTTACAATCAAAATTTGCTATTTTTTTTTTTTTTTTTTTTTAGTAATACCAAAATGTAGACACAGCTTTACTTAAATGTCAGAACTGTCAAAAATGACAAGTTTTGAAATCTGAAAGTCTTATGTTGATATTGGCGCGCAAGTTTTCACAATTCACGTTTTTAATAAAATTCTTAAAAGTAATATCTTTCAATATAATTATTAAATATAATGGGTCTTTTGGAATTATGTAAAAAGTACTTTAATTCGACCAATCTCTATGAAGTGCTAGGAATTTCTGAAAAGTCTACAGACAAAGAAGGTACACATTGGATTTATTATATTCCATTAGCATTAATTTTAGAAAAAAACAAATACTTTTTACAATACAATTATATATTTAAATAATAATGTAGCTACTGTTATACAAATGCATTCTGTAGTGAGCTTGGAATTCGCAAAACACGAATAATTAGTTCCTGATATATTAATACTTGTACAGACATACGAAAACAAACTGCACTCTCTATTACTTTCTGTCACTAATTTGTATAAAAACTAACATTTTCCTTCTCTGGGTCAAACAAAATATTACACTACTAGTCTTTATATATCGAATTAATTTCCATTAGAAATTGTATAGAACATGAATCTGAATTTAACAATTAAAAAAATCATAATGTAACTTGCATATAGCAGCCCCTATCCTGTTTGCAACAGCACATGCAATTTTTTTAGTTGTGATAAACAATTCACTTAAAAATATATTTTATTATTGCTTTTTCATACTAAATTCTGTCTATTTACAATTGGGATCAAGAAATATAAAAATATCATAATTTTTATCATTCTTTGAGAAAATAACTATTTTGCTTCTAGTACTGGTTTGGGCACTACAACTTATGGTATCCATTTTTTAAAGGCATTAGTTACATTATGATCATGGTTTTATATCACTATAAATATTCCTATTATAAAAAATAACATTAATTTACATATTACAGTAAAAAAAGCATATCATAAATTATCATTAAAAGTACATCCTGATCGTGTTGAGGAAAATGAGAAACTGGAAGCAACTGAGAAATTTAAAGTTTTGGGTAGTATTCATGCTATTCTAACTGATCAAAATAAACGAGCTATATATGATGAAACTAAAAGTGTTGATGACGATGACTTCAATGAAATAGCAGAACGTGACTGGATGGTCTACTGGAGGTTATTATTCAAGAAAATAACATTAGAGGATATTAAAGCTTATGAGAAAGAGTATACTGGTAAGAACCTTTGTTTTTTTTCATCATAGATATATTTAGAGGTCGCCCAGGTGGTATATTATATACTTTTTAACAGGAGTCTGACTCTCCCTGGAAAATAATGTTAAAGGTATACAATGTTTGTCATCCTCAACACATTGTCAGTACTCCACACCTATGGTAGTTTTTGTAAGTTACCTGAATAGGTATATTTATTTCCATCATAAACAAGCCATTTTGTTTTTCAATTAAAGAGGAAAATAGTTGATGCAATCTCCTGACACATTGGTCTGGGGAGAAAGGGATTGTTAGTAATCTGAAAAAAGTTGTTAGTAAAGACTGAGAATCCCATTGCTAACAATATACTCAACCAGGTCAACCTCCTCGCAGTTCTCCCTGGAAACTATCATGGTTAATTCCTGATGAACTCATCATGATGGGCTAACTGGCCTGTTTTCATTCTCATCTATCACCCTTCACTAGTGCTCCGCCAGCATATCCCGTTAGCGCAGGCTGGGTTACCATACCAGTTTCACCCATAAAAAAGACTCATTGGTCTTCACACTGTAGGAACTAAGCTACTTATTATCTACAATCAGATATGAAGCTTTTAGTTATTTCTAATGATAAAAAATAAATAATATACATAGATGTAGAATCATATAAAATTAAAATTGCATTATGATTTAAATATTTTATTAATAGAAATTTAATAAATATCTTTTGTATCACTTCTTATGAATATTTACTGTATTTAATATTTTTTACTTGTTGCGATTAAGTATAAATAAATAATCATTTATATTTTAGTGATTTGCCTATTATGAACTTACTACATCAACTACATCACTATTTGAATCCAGGTTCTACACAAGAGCGAGAAGATCTTAAACAAGCATATATGGCAGGGAAGGGTGACATGGATTACATTGTGGATCATGTTCAGTTTGCTAGATCAGAAAATGAACCTCGCATCAGAGAAGTTCTGAATGTATGTACTTTTAAATAAAATATAAAATTATTAAAACTTTTGTGTAACCTTCTATTAACAGACACCAGATAAGTAGTAATTTATTATGAAGATTAACTCCAAATCAATTTTATCAATTGCTTAAGAATGAGCTTTTTATTTCCTGGGGAAACTCAACAAACAGAGATGGCATTTTAGATGCAAAAATGCTGCATACCATCTATGTTTGGACTAAAAATCACAGACTGTTGTAACTTATATATATATATATATATATATATATATATATATATATATATATATATATATATATATATATATATATATATATATATATATATATATATATATATGTAAGTCAACCTACATTTATTTCCTAAATTGTCTGACAGGCTTATTAGATATAGACAATTTAAGAATTGCTTATCTATACAACCAGCTTAAACAACATGTCTGCAGAGAAGTATTATGTGTATGACTCCAAAACTCTACAATAAAATTCCAGAGCAATAGAAATGTTTAAACAAATTTATTCAAGCAAAAATTAAAAAAAAAATGTTAAGGGTCAAATGTTATTAGAATATTAATGAATTTTTAAATGACATATTTTAATAAAACATATTTATAATTATATAAACATTACTCTATTTTTTTTTTTTACTTTACAACTAGTACTTAAATTTTGGACATTTATACTATACCATTATTGACATTATATAATTTGCAATATTTCTTTTTGTAATGCTACGATTCACCAAACAAAAATTTGCATACTAATCTTGGCAAAACATGTTGGAACTATAATTAAAATACCCAGTATGTATTTACTACACACAAATTTATCCAATATTTAAATTTATTGTCATCCTAGAAAATATATGCACATAAATTTTTTAATACAATAATGTTCTTCCAGGAAATGATAGAAAAAGGTGAAATTCCATCCTATAAAATTTTTACCCATGAGCCTGCAAAAAAACGCCAAAGAAGAATAGCCAAGGAAAATCGTGAAGCAAAAGAAGCAGAGGAAGAGAAACAGAAACTAGGAATGGGATCTGGTAGGTTTATTACTTCTGTACTTTTAAAAATTAGGTGCAGTAATACTTATGTGAAACAGAGTTAAGATTTTTTTAATTAGTAACTTATAATGTGATTAAAAAATGTAGGATATGCAGAGATTATAGTTGTTATATAATGATGTTAACTTTGTAAGAAGCATAATAAAGTAGCTCAACTTGTAAAAGCAGAACACTGAATACAGTATAGCATAGGTGCAGATTTAAATTATGCAATATTTATTAGAATTATATTTTCATTTTAATATTAACTAATTGTCCTTTATATTTTCAGAATCAAATAGTTTAGAACTTATGATAAAGCAAAAGCAGGAAGCTAGAGGACAACAATTGGATTCATTTCTTGATAATTTAGCAGCTAAGTATGGTGATAAAAAGACCAAGACAACTAAAAGAAAAGCAGCTTCTAAAACAGAGTCTGAATCAAAAACAAAACGGAAGAAGTAAATTTAGTTTTTATTAATCCAAAAGTAAAACTTGTAATTTATTAGAAATGTGAAAAACTGTTTTTTTTTTTTCTTTATATTATTTAACATTTTTGTGTATGTATATTTAATTTTCTACATGTATTATTAATAAACTAAAAATTTTCATTCAAAATTTTAATCTCCCTCTTCCATAGCTACTTCCATTATATTTTCTGAAAAGAATGGGCCCTGTTGTATATATGTTTGTATTCTATCAAGAGTGTCTTCATCAAAAGCAGCAGAACTGGCTAGTTTTTTAATTACATTATACTTTACTTCTTTTGCTTCATTTGTATAATCCACAGAACGATCTAAAAGATATTCAATAAAACCTGAAAATATATATAAATCACTATGTTAATAAAATTAATCAGAAAATATTTATAGTATGTGAAAAACATCATTGATTATAATGAAATTGTAATACCTATTGTACAAAAGTGAAGAAAGATTGAACCTATCTCCAAAATATAATTTCAATTAAATATAATAAAATCATGATTCTATGGACCAATATGAACTAAATTTGTAATAGATTTAAGTCAAAGTTCTTATATATTATATTTATATAGGTCATGATGGTCCATAAAATAGTAAATTATATAATTATAAACACTTATCTATTACAATATTAATTTCAGAATTAGATAATAGGAATGGCGCCTCAGAATCAACTCTAAATTATACATTTAGATAGTCAATAATCTAGACCTCAGAAAAAGTCAGGCATCAGAATAAATCAGAAAAATTTATATGGTAACAGTGTAAACTTATGTGAAGGAGCTCAATTGACAGGCTTGTTTAAAAGATTTCATGATTTGTCGACCTCTTTTGAGACATTTTAATTTCATAATCACAATGAATAATTAGTGTTAAATCTACCTTTTGCATTGTCTAGGTTTATTAGTTTTAAACTTACCACCAACTCTTGCCACCAATTCTTCTCCCCACTTGTGTTGACATACTGCATCCAATAAATTAAATGCAGCTAATCTTATGTCAGAGAATGGATTCTTACAAGTATCACACAAAAATTTCATTGAACTAGGATGTTCACTCAAACATCTGAACCATTCTCGAGTCATTAAAGTCACCCTATGATCAATTGGACCACTCTTTGGTATATTAGGGTCTTTATCCACACTTATTAGACTTGCAAAACAATTTAAGGCACGAACTTTAGTTTCAGTTGCACTATTTCTGATCAATTGTGCAACTTTATCGACAGTTTGCATATATTTCCGGCCTGAATAATAATAAAACTAAATATTTAAAACACAGTATAATTATTGTTATAATACTTTTATATTAAAAATTTCACCAAAAAATTTGACAATACTATTATAATTATATTCTTAGCCCTTAATACTGCTGCTGGGTACAAATCTCCTCTATTTTTTTAAAAAGTTCCTGTTCTGTGTGGCACACAGAACTACACTAATTCTAATCAATCCAAAATAGTTTTGACAGATTACAGATAATTGATATTACTTTTGAATTCCACTAAATTGCAGAATAATGTCATTAAATATAAGTTGTCTATTCAGGACATATTAAGAAACCACAGTTAAATGTTTAAACAAATATATAGTGAATATACATATTTATTACTTTTTACAGCTTTAATGGTCCAATGAACTAATAATCATAAAATTTAGTCTATACTGTTTGGAATGGAAAAGAACAAGCTATTTTTATCTCGATCAATAATTGAATCTCATTGAATCATGTGGTTATGCAGATGAAGTCACATGTCAATCTAGCATTACATAAAGTTAAAATAGTAAAACTTACCTAGAGATATTAAAGATAATTTTCCTTCTATGGTAACACCAATGAAGCCTAATACATCTAGAGCGACTAGCAAAAGTGTTTGATCACCAATATCAAAGGCTTCAAATAGTAAATCTAATATAGTAGGATACTTGTTAAATATTTCCTTAGGGTAATGATGAGCAATGCATCCAACAAATTTTATATAACCTGTAAAAATAAATGTATAACCTGTAAAAATTTATTACAAATGTAATTGTTAATAAATAAATTAAGGATTCTATATAGTGTCAACCAAACTTTTAGTCCTAATATAACTGATATTGTGTGTTACATCATATGAATGTTATTTTTCTATAAATTCTTACATACATATTTACCAGTATTATATAAGGATTTATACAAAAAAAATAATCTACTTATTTGTATAGAAGTTATTGACATACGAGGGACATTTCTTCTTCAAGTTCTTAGCCTAACATACTTAATGAAAACACACGATTTTGAGTTAATTTTATTTTCAACATACTCTCCTCCGAGCTCAAAACACTTTTTCCATCGACCCGGTAAGGCTTCGATACGCGTTTTAAAAAAATCTTCGTCTAACTCCTCAAAATAAGTGTCCACGGCGGCTATGACCTCTTCATTTGTAAAAAAATGTTTACCACCTAAAAATTTTTTCAGCTTTAGGAACAGATAAAAGTCGGATGGTGCTAAATCCGGTGAATATGGGGGATGAGGTAACAATTCAAAGCCACCTTGATGGATTTCTGCCATGGATTGCACAGAGGTGTGAACGCGCGCATTGTCCTGATGAAACAAGACTTTTCTTCTCAATAAACCTGGACGTTTTTCTTTGATTTCTTCTCTCAAACGACGCAACAGGTTACAATAGTAATCGGAGATTATTGTTTAACCCTTTTTTAAATAATCCACGAGAATTATACCCTTTGCATCCCAAAAAACAGATGCCATGGCTTTGCCCACCGATAAAACCACCTTTGCCTTCTTTGGGGTGGGTGATCCTGCTCTTTTCCATTGTTTCGACTGTTCTTTTGTCTCAGGTGTATTGTGGTGAACCCAGGTTTCATCCATGGTTATAAATCTTTCAACAAATTCTATTGGGTCAGCTTCATATAACTCTAAACAGTCGCGAGAAGTTGTGAGTCGGTTGCGTTTTTGTTCCACTGAAAGCAGTTGCGGTACCCACCGCGCAGACACCTTAAAGAATCCAAGTTCAGTAGTAATTACATAATGTATTCGCTCAGATGAGATGCCTACAGTCTTAGCTATCTCCTGGACAGTCCATCTTCGATCAGATAAAATTAAATCACAGATTTTTTTTTGTTTTGATCAGTGGAAGCAGACAAAGGCTGGCCACTACAGGGCTCATCTTGAATGGTCTCACGACCATGTTTAAACTGCCACCCAGTTTTTAACAGTTGCATACGAAGGAGCAGACTCACCCAAAGTAGCAGACATGTCTTCATGTATAGCTGTAGGAATTAAACCTTTTAAATTCAGGTATTTTATCACTGCACGATGTTCAATTTTATCCATTTTCAAAAATAGCTCTGACTTACAGTATCACATGTAAACGAACAATGAGTTACTGTAAATAAACTAAGCTGTACATACGTCTTGCTAAATAATGTAACTACATGTAAATGGTAGTTATAAAAAAAAACATGTTAGGCTAAGAACTTTTCAAATGACCCTTGTACTTTTAAAACTTTTTTGGAAAGCTACATTTAATGTTATTTCTTCAAATTATAATCAGGAATTTGTCTCCATTTGTGGTTGAAACAAAAATAATGTGGAAATATCTAATTAGTTGAATCACTACAAACTTCACTTGAAATTATTACATAAATATAAAAATTTATTACCAGGAATGAGTAAATTGCCAAGTGGATTGTTAGGCAAGTCTACAATTATTTCTGTTATCAGATTGAGGGCACCATTATTCATGAGGTAATTAATGCCTTGTGGTTTAACAGCTAAACGTGACAGAAGCTCAAGGACATTAAGCTGATAAAGTACATCATCTGATTGAAGTTGTGACATCATATGCTCTATGTACCCCAAATCTGCACATAATTTAAATAGTTCAAAAGACTTGCTTGAAATATTCACAACCACCTGAAATGAAATAAATACATGGTGTATTTATTTATGTAGATGATATGCTTATAAAACGATTATGACTTAATAAGAGCACTGTCATACCCCCTGATAAATTTATAATTGTTGAATAAGAATAAAATGTATTAATATTATTTACATAGAATAAAAGTACAACCTCATAAGCATTACACTTGCTGCTGACAGTGTATTCTAAAGCAATCTTCATTTCCTCTAAAACTTTAGGGTATGCTTCAAATGGTAAATTAGCAGTGATCAATATAGCCTTGTTAGCTACAGTGATATCTTGATCTGCAACTAATTGTGCTACTACAACAAATACATCAATATATTCAGGTATGGGTAGCAGCCCAGGATCTATGATAATACATTTATTTATCTGAAACAAAGAAGAAAAATAATTATTCCCATAAAACAACAAACAAAAGTGTATATATTAAAATAATGAAATATTTCTTGTTACCTCATCAATTGCGAGTCTACGAACACATTTTTTCTCGTGTCTTAACAAATACATAACATGGCCTGTATATTTTTTTACAATATCGCCAACTGGAAATTTGTCAAAACATATTTTTAAAACTTCGCATGTAAGATCAATTTGGGACCTGAAAAATGTAAAAATATTATGACTGTACTTTCTAATAATGTAAGACATAACCGTAGTTTTTATTGTGAAAGAATTATTATAACACTTAAATTTGAAACTTACTTATCACTAACATTAAGACAATGAATTATCCTAGCAATACCCCCATCTCTAATAATTGAGACGGCTTCACCTGCTGGTTTTAGTAGAAGTAGATTTTTAATCTCATTTAATGTTGTCTGCCTATTTTCTTCTCTCTGTAGCTTTTCTATAAACTGTCGATATTGTTCAGTATCCTGATTAGACATTGTTAAATAGAAATAAATATAGAAATGCCCAAACCACGGTTTAAAAAATGTGCAAACAAACAACAATGTAGATAAGTAAATAAAAATAGTCGAGTATGACTTGAAGAAATGAAATTAAAAATGTCAGGCTGTCAGTTCCAGACAGTCAATCAGTCTGAAGACAGTATCGCAAATCAGGGTGAATAGACACAAAGTCCACTTTAACACTTCAATTTCTTCTTTTTTTTTTATACACTTAGAATGGCCATTCCTGAGGACTGAGGTGTTATTCTTCTATACCCTATAAATTCACTGCCATATTCCTCCATTCAAACCGAAACACAGCCATGCAAACACGACTGCTTCACGGTAGTAACACGAATGTGACAGAGGTGCCCAAGCAAACGACTTTTGTACAAAGTCATCCTCAAGTGATATAGTAATCACTACATAGTATAAAACAAAGTCGCGGTCGCTGTCTGTCCATCCCTATGTAAGCTTATCTTTAAAACTACACAACTAATTTGAAGCGGTTTTTTTAATAGATAGAGTAACTCAAGAGGAAGGTTTATATGTATAATACATGCATAATATTGCAGAAAAACACTGATAATTTAGAGGTGTCTAATGTGATGTCGGTAATAAACATATTTTTTGCGCTTACATTGCAAACGCTGGCTGAACCCCACGAGATAAATCAAAATAATGTACTACAGTATTGTACACCTTAAAAAGGTCAACAAAAAAGTCAACACTTATACTTGAACTATTTGCATGACATAAAACATAATCATAGTGGATGTCTTGTTAGTTGCTCTAATAAATAAATGTAAAGACCATTAAATGAGATATATATGTCTTTATCTTTTTATGCCTTACGGTGGAGAAATATTATGGCGGGCTGCATGACCTTTAATTTGAGCCCAGATTAACTCTATGGCATTGTACTGGCAAAGGTATGAAGGGATTCGGAGAACGCGATGACCGTAATCGCGAGCCAGCTCATCTATTTAATATCGAACATTTGCCGGCTTATGGTCATTGACTAATAATTGACTTTAATCAGCTCTACATTTAGAATTGATATTTTTGCATCAACGCATTGCATTTCTTTACAGCTAAGCCACTAATTCCTCTTTTCTATTACCCAAGTAGGTAGGTATGTGCAGCAAATGATAAGAGGTGTTATCTATTAATATAACTGAAGGCTCTGGAAAGCTAGGTAGCAATACATCGTAGAAGTACTCCTTGAATGCAGCCGCATTCATTTCTTCGTGGTAGTAGTGATTTTTAACTCAAATGCTAATAAACCATTTTCCACAAAACCACCATATTTCGCACAACCAGCGTGGCTTATGAGTCGTGCTTTATTTTTTTTCATTTCTTTTTAATTCATCTGACTGATATCATAACAGTTATTTTCTTAAGTTTTGTTTGGGCGTACCTGTTTCGTATTATAAACTTTATTAAATATGTATTAAGTACATTATATATTATAAAATTATAACGTTTTATTTAACAATATACCGACTGACAGATTATATTAAATTTACAAAAATATTCAATTACAATTGCCTCGTTATTTTGTCTTATCACTACAAAAACAAACAGTTAACATAACATTGAAACAGCGGGGGAAAAGGGATTGTTAGTAATGGAAACTGAGAATCCCATTGCTAGCAATATACCCAACCAGGTCGACCTCCTCGCGGTTCGTCCTGGAAACTATCATGGTTAATTCCTGATAAATTCATCATGATGCGCTAACTCGCCTGTTTTCATTCTCATTAATCACCCTTCGCTGGTGCTCCGCCAGCGTATCCCGTTAGCGTAGTCAGGGTTACCATACCATTTTCACTCATGAAAAAAAACTTGAAACAGCGCAGTTTGACCTGGTTAGACTTTTAAAAACTATTGTTCTTATATTTGTTAATTAATTAATTGTTAATAATTTTATCTCGAAATAAATACATTTATTGTAAGTTGGCATAATTATTCAATTTTTAATATTATTACTCGTTATTAAGGTTAATTGAAAGATATTTAAACTATTGCCGTAAATTGTACGCCACTTCAAAATTACATCGCCCATTCGATTACGATCTGTCAGAAACGCAATCTCTAAGCGACCAGACATACCCACTCAACTCTCATTCGTCCATAATAATATGGTATGACGTTCCGATTCAAACCTGCGGCATGCCCATTCACCCCTTTTCAGTGCCTACTAACCTCCTAAATGCATTAAAATCACACTAAGATATTTTGAAATAAAACAAAAATTACTTAATATCTACTTTTTGTGAAGCTCCACAGTGAAGTTAAAATTTATTTAAAAATACCAAGTTTATCCGTAATTACAAAACGCAAAGAAAGTTTCTGAAGCACAAATTTTATCGTTTCATACACCTTTACTTTGAGGTAAGATTTAGACACCGTTAACTAACTTTAGAAGTATCTAATTTTTCTATTTTAAAAATTCTATATTCCACTAAACGTTGAAACGTTTTGCAATAATTGGTAGGTTGTTATGTTTTTTTCAATCAGTTTCAAATGTTCAAATCCATTTATGTCCCTATTCAGACCCCAATCTCTATTGATCTCATTTTACGGTACTTTTAGTTATTAATCTTAGTTGTAACAGTGTATAAAATGAAATAAAAATTAGCCATTTTTATTTCATTTTATACAAATAAAAATTGTTAAAAAAAAAAAACAATTATATAGTAACATTTTATTAAGTCCATCCAGACTATAATGGGTATGGTACTGCGTCACGACCATAAGCATATTTAGACGTGCCCACCTAAGAAGTATCTGGTGACTACATCTGAATAAACAGCAGTACTTTCAGCTTAACCAGAGACAGGTCTAAAAGCAGAGTATTACTCTCACTATAGCGAAAGAGAGAAAGTAGAAGAACAATATTTATTTTATAAAAGTAAAAGAACAGAGTTAAGAGTTAACTGTAAGATTTTTTCGCCCGCCAGTCCAAAAACTCATCTATATTATCATCTTCGTTGCCATCATCATCTTCAATATCTTCACTCATTTGTTCATCCATGTCTTGCTTTTTCTTTTTAGTTTCTTCTTTTTTCAATTCCAGATCGAGAACTCTAAAACAATCAAAATTATTAAGTATATATACTTATGTGAATTTTATTTCAAGACAAGCAATCCGACCCGGCTTTGCATGAGTAAACAGGATTTTTGAAAATCAATACATATAATAAAAAAAAGTTTTAGTTAATTCAACTAATCAGTTAATTTATAGCATTTTATATGTGATTATTTAGATTGATATATTTTTTTTATTTATAAACCAATGAAAACATTAAAAGAAGCAAACTGCAACACATTAGTCAAAAATGCATTCAAATCAGTTAAGCCGTTTCTGAGATTAGCATGCACAAACATACAAACAGACAAAAATTGTATAAATCATTATTTTTGGTTCATTTCAATCATTGCGTCATCAAAGCCCCCCTATAATACTTTTTTTATATATCTTCCATATATAAACAGCGACTAGTTATGATTTTATTATAAGTATAATAAAAAACCGTAAGTTACTGGTATACATGGACAGGATACTATCGAGTACTGATAGATGAGGATGAGATCCGGTAAACTAGCCCAATAAAAACTACTAATGGCATTGCTAGTCCTCACTATTAAAACCAATCAAATTTAATGGAAATCATCATCATCATCGTCGCCTCTTACGACACCCATGAGAGAGGAAGAGATGGCTCATTGTATGCGGGGACCACACTACTAAAATAGCTACATAGTCATAGAACAATAATTTTAATTGCGAATTTGTCTGTGTGGCTGAGATATTCTGATGAGATAAAATAAATCTCATGTCTTCATTTGTGATAAACACTGTATTTAACTTAATTTCATGGCGATAGGTTATTAAAGCACAAAGAATTACCTTGCGTTCATATTAATAACTTGTAGCTATATCTGTAACTTTATATATTTTTGTTCACGTAAATGAGGACAAAAGAACCCAAGTAGGACAATGTATTTTTAACATTTTTCAGTATTTTTAACCAAATTGAATTATAGCAAAACCAGTTTTTTTTTTTTTATTTTAATAATTTTAAAACTAAACTACTAAACCGATTTTAATAAGATTTCTATAGAATCTATCTGAAAGTTAGTTTTTTCATATTAAAGTTTACTTATCAGTTTGGAATATCTTTTCAGTTAAAGGAAAGAGTTTCCAAACCGGTTTATAACTGACAGAGTTATGAGGTAACAAACATGAAAAAAATACAATCGAATTGAGAACAGTTTCCTTTTTTTGAAGCCTGATAGAAACTGTTGTGGCCCTTCAAAAACCAAATCAATATTATTTCGGAAAATTAACACTTAACAAATTAACATTAATTAATGCCCATACATCTCACTAAATTTGTATTATATCCACAACCCATTGAGTAACGCTTCGCAACCCCCCCGCCCCCAGCATTGTTTGAAAAATACTCATTTAGGATTTGACAGCTATGTGTCATATTCCATTCAGCAAATTAAGCGTGAATGATATATATCCAAACATCTTACAAAATTATCAAGTTATTAAGTATGTACAACTGCCAAAAATTTATATTCGAGAGGACAAGTATGGTCATTATAATAATTTTATTATATTTATACCTAGACCAATTGCGTATCTGTTCATCGATTTCGTCAAGTTGTCGCTTTGCTGTTGCTTCCTCTTGCTCACCAGCTATAATTTCTGCAGACGCACTAGCTTCTTCTTTCATTTCCTTTTGAAATCTCTCCCACTCCTCTTCAACTGGATCTTTGTATTCGATATTTCTCATCTAATACATACATATTATTTGTATACATTAAAATAAGTTAATTGAATGACTAATTACATACCATACATAATATCACACATAATTATAGTTCGGCGGGGCACCAGTGAAGGATGATAGGTGAGGATGAAGTAGGTCAGTTAGCCTATCGTAACAAATTCAACAAGATTTGTTCACAATGGTTTCTAGGGGGACCCACGTGGAAGTTGACCTAATAGGGCATACTGCTAGCAATGGGGCTGTCAAATTCCATTGCTAACAATCCCTTTCCCCCTATTACATACCCAGTTGTTATTAGCAATAATAAAGAATTTTATATTTTTAATATTTCAGTCGTAGTTTGTTTATACTTATAAATTATGCACTTTCGCACAACAATTTTAAAAATAGTTTTCACCTTTACATAGATTAAAATATATTTGGCATTTAATACTTATTACCTTAAAAATAAAAATGTTTAGTAAAATATTCGTATTATACAGGAAAAATAGTAAAGTACAGACAAAGAAAAGGATTTAGTGTTATTTTAGATTTTATTTATATTAACCCCGCGAATTCTATTAACCCCGTTTTAAGGTAGCTACTACTACAGAGTACGATATAAAAAAAAAAAAGTCTGACTGATAAATGACTGACAGAGTATCTTATTAAAGTAAATAAATATTGAGACTGAAGATGTGACAAAATAAACTGGGAATAGTTTTAAGCCCTTTATTGCCAATGTTATTAACAAAACGAATCGGGAACAACTTAAAAACCCTAACTATTCATATAAGAAACATTATGGATAATTCGCATTCACGTCAGATTAAATTTATAACCGATTGTATACCAAAACTGGATGGTGCCAGTCACAAAGGTCAAGCGGGAAGGATAGGTGTAGTGGGAGGATCTTTAGAATATACAGGCGCTCCATATTTCGCAGGAATAAGTGCTTTAAAAGTACGTTGTTTAATGTAATTTTAATATGCCCCCATTTTAATTAATCGATCAAATATCTTGAAAACTTATGAGTGTGTAAGTGATGTCTATACTTATATACATAAATTCAAAATAAATAAATCCAATAATGTCCACAGGTAGGGGCCGATTTAGTGCATATTTTCTGCACCACAGCAGCGGCAACTGTCATAAAATCTTACAGTCCTGAATTAATTGTGCATCCATTACTGGATTCTGAAAATGCTGTTTCAGAAATATCACCATGGTTCAAAAGACTACATGCAATAGTAATTGGGCCTGGTTTGGGAAGGGCAACTGAAACATTTAATATAGTTTCTGATTTAATTAAAATAATCAGAGAGTTCAAAATACCTTTAGTTATTGATGCTGATGGATTGTTTCTTATAACAGAAAACCCTGAATTAATCAGAGATTTCTCATCTCCAGTTATATTGACTCCTAACAAAATAGAATTTGAAAGACTTAATAATAAATTCAATGGTTCTCAAAAATTAAGCCAGCAGCTTGAGAAAAATGTAATTATACTGAAGAAAGGTTCTACAGATGAAATATATAGTATGAATCCTGCAGTAGTTTGGAGCTCAAGCACAGGAGGATCTGGACGTAGATGTGGTGGCCAAGGAGATATTTTATCAGGATCTATTGCAACATTTTTAAATTGGACTTTACAGAACATTCATAAAACTGAATTGAAAACAGATGACAATGGTTTAGTTGCAGCTTCCCTAGCTTGCTATGCAGCTTGTCAGTTGGTGAGACGTAGTAATGAAAAGGCTTTTTCTGTAAAAGGCCGCAGTATGTTAGCTACAGATATGATTGAATGTATTCATGAATCATTTGAGGAATTATTTGGTCATTAAAATATGTAATTACAAAGAAACATACTACAACTATATTCATAAAATACTTTTAAGAAAAATTTTATAATTATATCTTTTTGAATGTAAAATTATTAATTATTTTTTATTACTTACCTTAGCATCCAATATTGGATCATCAAAGAATCCTTCTGGTATAGGCTGATCAGGTAACTGAGTTTTTAAATCTTGCTCTTGAGTCTCTGTTGATGTTTGGGGATCTGTGGAAGTTGTAATTCTTGGTTGGTTGTTACTTTATCACATCCATATTGTCTTATCATCAGTTTATATTAATAATTATGTCTATATTTTAACTAATTGTAAATATCACCATTGCAAAGACACTATTAGAAGGGGACCATGGGAAAACTGTCAGATAAGCTGGAAAATTAGCCTATTTATACATCACAACCATTGTAACATTTTAATACAGCAAAGCTAGCTTTTTGGCTCATATGGTAGTACTGCTACTGCTACTGATCTATATGAGCACAAAGATGCTTATTGACAAACAGCACCATAACCTAACATGAATTTAATAAACATACATTATATAAATACAGTGTTAATATGGTCAGTGTGCTAAGGGTGGTTTCTTTATCCATACTAACATTGTTTGGACTTTTTTTTGTTGTTACTATGCACCTTAACAGCTGGACCAATCGATGATGAAAATACTATTTGGGACAGAGAATAGAATAAGCTGTTAGTGTCTGTGAATCACACAATCAAACCATCCACATCTACCGTACCGCCAGTAGTTATGATGGCTGCGAGTAATAAAGAAAGTTTAATAAATATCATGTGTGACTTGTGGAGTGATTGGTCAATTGATTCCAGTTGTAGTTCACATAACTGGTTATTTCATTATAATAATAAAAGCTCTACAATTACTATTGGTAATAATGATAAAATGTGTAGTGATGGACAAGGTGATCTAAAAGTAATTTTAGATAATGCTTATACAAAATCTATAACAAATGTAACATATGTTCCAGGCATAGCTGCAAATTTGCTCTCTGTACATAGATTAATATAAAAAAAGTACATATTTGTATTTGATAATAAACAGTGCAGGACATATTTAGGTAAGCATAGGAGTTTTGGTTGTAATAATTTTGATTTTCTCAGCCTTTGAGTTGAATGTGTCTACAAGCTCAATCAGCAACCAGTTAATTGAGAAGATATAGCTTATTCTAAGGTATTTGTTGCCAGCCAATGTGGAGACTGTAATAGATAATAATATAGACAATTCTAAATTTATAGGTCCACCTGTATCAAATTTACAATATATAGATAAACCACTTAACAATTCATGTATTCAAAATAGTTCATTACAGCAAATTGAGCAGTCAACATATAATAATTTTGAGATTGTTATCCAGCATGATATAGATGAACATGCTGAAAGGGTTAGTTTAGATTCTTAAAAGCCTTTACTTGATGGTTCGTTGAATGAAAATTCTCACTGAAGTGAATCCTCTTTAGGTGTGGTTAGTATCTGTAATTTGTTGATGAGAACATTTCAAACAGACTAGTTTGTACTTAATGAGTACCAATTTGGAAGAATGATTATATTTTGAATGGAGATGAAGTAGAGGTCCTTAGCACAAAACCAGTCATATTCTGAAGCCATTTCTTGTAAAAATAATAATGAATGGAAATTGATTATGGACAAAGAATATGTTATATAAAAAGGATGTGTGGAAATTAGTTGACAGGCCTAAAGGCAAAAATGTAATAAAATGTAAGCAGGTTTTTAAAAAAAAGCTAGATGCAAGCGGTAATTTTAAGACATTTAAGGTCAGGTTGGTTGCACATAGTTTTAGTCAACATTATGGCTTGGATTATAATAGCATATTATCACCTGTGTTTTGTCATTCTACTTTATGGATGCTCTTTGCTGTTACTGTCAATCAGGACATGAATATAGAACATATAGGTGTTAGCAATGCATTTTTATATGGTTCTGACTGCTCCATATATCTTGATGAAACAATATATATGAAGCAACCAGAAGGATATGAAAATAATAGTAAACACAAAATATGTTCATCAAAGAAAAAAACATATGGTTTAAAACAAGCAAGTCAATTTTGGAATCTTAATATCAATAATTATGCATATTAATTTCATAAGGATATAATTGTTCAAAATATGAACCTTGTGTGTTATTACAAAGGACAAACTTATATTAATGGCTCTTTATGTAGATGATTTCTAATTGAACTGTCAAATCTTAAAATCATTAAACTAAATTTCTAATGTAAGTAGTATATTAATTTATTTTAACATTTATTATATAAGTATGTAGGTATTATATTTATTTATAGTGTATGTATTTATGTAATATTTTATTATATATTTTAATATTTTATTTAACTGTATATTTGTTTATGTATTAATAGTTCAGCTGCCTGCTAATGAAATATTTTCTCACTGTATTGGGTTGACCGGAAGAGATTTCTGTCAGAGATAAGTCTACCCTTACTCACAACATTTATAAATATATTATTTTATATGTAATTTACAAGCTGTTTAGGTATGAAAGTAGAGACCGTATATTCAGTCTCTATAGGTGTTTTAAAATTATCACAGGAAGAATTAGTAAAAAGTTTACTGTCAAAATATGGGATGTCACACTGTAAATCTTACTAAGAACTGATTGGTGGATTTATGCATCTTTGTATTAGCACTTGACCAGATATTGCATTTGCTTGCAGTAAACTCCATCAATTTAGTAATTGTTATAATGAAACATATTGGCAGGCAGCAAAGCATGTACTTAGATATCTCTCAGGGACTTTATCATATAGTTTAAATTACAAAAAAGGTAAACAACAAATTGAAATATATACTGATGCTATTTGGGCTAATGATGGACTAGACCATAGGTCTCAGTAAGTAACAGGGTATTGTGTAATGTATGGTGTTGGTACAATAAAATGTTGCATACTCTAGCACCAAAGCAGAGTACTATAGTTTAGGAGAGGCAATAAAGGAGAGTAAATATCTAAATAGTTTTTTCTCTGATATATTTGATTGTGATGTTGTACCAATTACCATTTATAATAATAATATGAGTACTCATAGAATTGTAGAAAATCATGTAAGCTACAGAAGAACCAAACATATTTATGTTTGCCATCATTTCATCTATAATGCAGTTAAAGAAAAAAATTATAATATTGAACATAAACACACTGATAAAATGACAGCAGATATATTTACCAAACTACTAGGTAAAGTAAAGGACAATTATTTTGTATACATTTAATTGAATTTCTTTTCTTTTCTTTATGAGTATTTTTTTTTAGTGAATTTAAATAATATTCGAGAAAAACAAGGATTAGTGTCTGTTAATCAGAACTACTCAAATATTTTTTGTTAGAATCCAAAGCTATGTTATATAAAAAATGGCTAATTTATTGAACTTTGTTTCATTTACAATACAAGCTGCATAATAAAACATCATAAGCTACATTTTATTTCAGTCTCATAGATAAAGCTGAGGATAAAATTTAGTTATTAATATTTCTGTAGCATTTAAGTAATATAAAAATGTATAGCTATGTACCTTGTTTTCTCTCAACAGGAAGTCCAGGAATAAGAGGTGATCTTTTGATTTCTTCATTGTGATACGATATTATATGTGGTACATTATTAGTAGATTTTGATACAATTGATGTAACTGCTTCACTAGCATTTTTTAATATGCCTTTTAACTTTTTTTCTACAGGGACATCTCTTGGAGGGCTTATTAGTTTGCGTTTTATCTTTCCAACAGTAAAATTATTCGTTAACTCTTTTAATTTTTTAGCTTTTTCAACATTTTCTCTATGCTGTTTACTATTTATATGTACTGTCCATACATTTTCAGATCTCACTATAGAGTTACAAAGTATGCATGTTAATTGTCCTGCATTGTTGTATTTAGCAAGAGGATTATCTATCTTAACGATTTTCGTATCTTTTTTTTTACGTTCAGCCATCAGTCGACGCATTTCCACTTGGGTCTTTTTCTTTTCCATTTGCATTCGTAAAGACATTTTTGATGGATTATTACGGAATTGTTTTGTGGATAAATAACTTGCCTAAAATAACCTCTTTATTAAAATTTAAGTATATCACAACGCCTTCTGCGATGTCTATCTTAAAAGTACTTTTTTATACGTAAAAACTATAATGTATTGTTAATTTTTATATATGTTTTTAGTCAATCAAAACAAATAACCAAGATAAGCATTAGCTAATAACCACTTTTAATGCAACACTTTTAATGGAACACAAACAAATGAAAATAAAAAAAAATAATTGCAATATAAAAATATCATTATAAATTAGACTATATACAAATAGGAACAAGGAAAAGTTCTAACTACTCTCTTTTTGCGACTAGAAATAATACACAGACTACTTAGAGAACTACGTTAAATAATAGATAAAAAAAATCAGCCAAGAACCATAGACTTTTTTATATTTATTAAAACTTTGGCTAGAACAGTCTTGCCATATAAAATGAGTCAGAGTTCGCCTAATATTGGCCCTTAGTAGCCTAAAATTACCTACATTCTTTTATTGCAATATAGCTTAACCTAAAATCGCCTTAATCTCCCCCATCCCCACCCCCACGTACTCAGCATATAACGTGTCTGTAAATAACTTATGATTGACTTCCACAAAAAACCAACTTCAATTGTGGCTAGTTATTTTGATTTTTAAACTTAAATTACTGAAATGATAAAATTTTTATGGAACTAAGCTGTAAGTATAGCCTTTTTGATAAAAATTACTCTTCCAATCATTTTATAACTGACGCATTTATGAGATAACAAATATAAAAACAAAAAATTCGTAACTTGAACAGCAGAGAACTTTTCAAGGATTGGTAGTATGAATAAGCAGATTTAGCCGTAAATGTCACTTTTACTATTTATAAAGTCCAAACAAATTATACAATATACACAAACGAACACACAATTTCACTTATAGTTTAAATAACACAATAAAAAATGTTTGGTTAGTCTTATATTAGGATAATTAGACTATGGTGTGGTGTAAGATATGAAATTCTTAATTTATTATTTAGGGGCATAATTTTTTTAACTTTATGAGTAATAGGACTATAATACTGAATTTGTTATTGGAAGTTATTTGGTAATTTCACAAAAACTGTATTATATATATATAGACATATTGTTTTATTTTGCTATATTATTCACATATACCTTTATAAACTGTAATTATTGTGAGTTTTTTCTACATAAACTTCGGAGATAAAGGTGGGATCATAAACTACATGGTATAAATAGAAAAGATTTTTTTAAAATGGTCAGATGAAGTAATTTCATATGGCGTCCTAGTTATTTTTAATTTTTGAATTCCCCTTTTGGATTGTAAAAGAGCTGGTCAATAACAAAAGCAAATAAAATAAAAAGATTTTTTTAATAATTTTTTTTTTATTCAAAATTTTTGTTAACTATACCTAAAACTTTAACAAATTTCAAGACGACAGCATTATTAGTTACCGAGTTAAATCACTGTGACAGACGGACAAATGCACATGTAACAAAAGGATTCCTTTGTGTCATTTTGGTATGAAAATTAAAAATGGGTTTTCATCATCATCATCATCATATCAGCTTTTAACTGTCCACTGCTGAATATAAGCCCTTAGGGAGGTTTTGCCAGTAGTTGCCATGCTTTACTTTTGTACAACTTTGTTAGTACACAATTAGATATATTATAAATTATGTTACACCATAATAATTATTTATTATTGAATTGTATCTAGGTCGGCAAGAGTCTACGTATATCTAAAATTAGAAAAATATTGATCAGTTGAGTTGCATGAATTATATATTCATGCAACTCAACTGATCAACATTTTTATAATAATCATATTGTCTAATATGATTATTATAAAAATGTTGTTATATTTGGATGTATATCATCATAATCATCATATTAGCCTTTATCTGTCCACTGCTGGATATAAGCCTCTCTCTTGGAAGGTTTTTGCCTGTAGTTGTTACGCTTGGCAGGCAGATTGGCAACCGCAGTTAGGCTTTGGAGATATTTTAAGAGGGATACTGATGCCCGTCCCTCGCCTTTCCTTAGTCGCCTCTTACGACACTTACGGGAAAGAAAGAGGTGGCCTATTCTATACCGGAACCACACGGGAATAATTTGTAGCACTAGCAAATGAATCCTTTTAATATATTATAATCCATGTAATATATTATTTATATTTCGAAAAACAAATTTAAAATTATATTTAATTAAAACTATTATTGAGGTTTAATTGGTTTTCACCTTCTCAACTTATGTCGGCTTAAAAACATACCCCGTCCTGTAACCCACAGGAAAAAAGGTACGTATGCCCCAGTTTTATTTTTTTTTATGTCCGTCTTCTACCTCGCCTTCTCTTTAGAGTGTATACTGAATTTGTGAGTGATTGTGTGTTTGGTGTATGAATTGTGTTGTATGAATCTGGTGTGTTTGTTGAGTGTTGTGTGTTAGTTGCCTGTTGGATGGTTGGTGACCGGTGTGTGTCTTGAGGGTGATGATTTTGTGTTTTTTGTACAAATACGGTATCTCCCAATACTTTGCTGAGTATGCTTGATGTGTGAATGGCTGCTTGTTTTTGCAAGATTGTGATGTCAATTTTGCCATTTAGCTTATTTATGTAGTTTATAATATTTTTAGCTACTATTCCTGTTGCGCCTATTACTATCGGGATGATAATCGTTTGTGTGTTCCACAAACGACTGACTTCAGTTTTGAGAAGGTGGTATTTACTTAGCTTTTCAATTTCCTTAGCTCCTATATTGTAATCAGATGGTACAGTTATATCTATTAAGTATGTTTTATTATTATTTTTATCTATATATATTAAATCTGGTCTATTGTGTGTAACGGTGACATCAGTTTGAACGGGCATTTCCCACAGGATCTTAACAGATTCGTTTTCTTTAACATGGGGTTGGGTGAGAGTTTCTTTCCACCAGAGATCAGAGACCTGTATATTGTGTTTTTTTGCCAGACACCAGTAGATATACTGAACAAGGTTATTGTGTCTTTTGACATAATAGGTCCCCGCCAATTTCTCGCACCCCGATATGATGTGTTGTGTTGTTTCATCTTTATGAACACATAAGCGACACTTTCCGTCTACTGGTTGTTTTAGTATGTCACGTTGATGTTGTCGTGTCATTACTATTATTAAAACTATTATTAAAACTATATTAAAGTAATATTAATATAAGTAAACTATATTTTTAGGTATTACTTATTAAAATTCTCATTTCATTTATCACTAACTTGTAGGTTATGTATTTATGTGGAAAATTAAAGAATAAATAAATGTCCTACACTGTGTTTGCCAATACTGGGTCACCACTCAAGAATTTTTGTGCCTCATTGTTTATCGGTTCTTCGAGCTATGTGATCAACCCATTGCCACTTCAACTTACTTATTTTTCGGGGTATGTAGGTTACATTGGTTCTTTTGCTAATATTTTTTTTTATACCACTGAGGTGGCAAACAAACATACGGCCCACCTGATGGTAAGCGGTTACCGTAGCCTATGAACGCCTGCAATACCAGAGATATTACGCGCGCGTTACCGACTCTGAAAAAACCTCTTTACCCTCTTTTAAAGAACCCCATGCTGTAGTGTCTTGGGAAAAACTCGGCAGGGAGTTCATTTCATAACTAGAGTGTTCGTGAGAGCAAACATCTCTGAAACCGCGTTGTATGGAACCATTTAAGCTGTAGGGTATGAGATCAACTCCCTGTCGATGGCGATCGTACGATGTAGATATTCTCGTTTCGAATTTTATCACGCAGACACTCTGAATATAGCCCACCGAGTAATTTAAAGTTTTTGCATACTCCTATCAAACTAGTCTTGATATTGTGCAACTTATTGACCTATTGGCTGTTTCTCATATAATCACATATAATTTATTATATTTTCTCTCTTTCATATTGCTAAATCTGTATACTTCATCTAAGGGCCCAATAATGTAGACGCTCGTGTGATTGAAGCTTAACGATAGTGGATATTTCAACGGTTATTTTTTTTCCAGATTTGAATTTTGTAATAGACAACGAAAAGTGGAGAGTTTTGTCAATTTCAGGTTAGTCTTTGGTACTTCAGTTGGTATTCACTAATTTTTTCGCATTTTAAAACACTAAAACCACTATTTTTTTGTAAATACTTCTGAATACTATTCAGTTTATTGGTTTATGAACTTGTGTCAATGCGACAATCAATAATTAGCTTTGTAAGGACTTCATACATTGTGTGTTGGAAATTTCTTATTTGTGATTGAGTAAGCTGTGTTTATCCCCTCATGCTGTGATATTTCACTATTATTTTAGTTCTACAATGGACATCGACGTTAGTAAAGAGAATATTCAACCACTAAGAGGTGGTAGAAACTTTATGCAATTGGGTACTGCATTGCAAGCACAATCAGACGTTGATGTTCAAAGACAGCTGCAATTACAAAAGGAGTGAGTTAAATATCATCTATTTCTCATTATTTTCTACTAGACATTATAATTGTGAAAGATATATAGAGATATTATGAAAATAGAGATTTATTTTCATAATTATATATTTTGTTTATGTGTGTATAAAATACAAATTATCCTTTGACAATTCAAATAGTTTTAATGTCATTATCATTAACTATTAATAAAATTTTCAATTTTGCAAAATAGGGAACATGAAGCAGCTATTAGGCACTATCAGGGCCCGGATCCATTGGATCCATGGTTTAACTATATCCAGTGGGTAGAGCAATGCTATCCAAAACATGGTCATGAGGGACATATTGATAAGTTAATAAAGGATTGCCTGCAGATATTTGAAAAAGATACCAGATATTTTCAAGATAGAAGGCTTGTGAAGCTGTGGATTAAGTATGTAAGTAACCAGTATCTGTATGTTTTGATTGTATAAAATTGTATAAATATATAGATTATAATGACAGATGGATATATATTTTGGTTACTTCAATATCGTAGTTCTTTCAGATACTAAATTGTAGGCTAAATAATTTAATTACAGTCCAATTTAGTAAAAATCTGATTTTTTATTAAAATCAAATTATTTAAAATCAATGAATATTACTAAATATATACTATCGTTATTAATTTTTATCATTATTTATTTATTTATTTATTTATGCTTTATTGACCACATTACAAAAAAATGTCTGGTACAAAAGGCGGACTTAATACTATATAGCATTCTCTCCCAGTCAACCTTTGGCAAAACAGAAATTTTAATATGCGGTGAAAAAAATTACAACACATACAATAGAGATTATATAAATATACATACATGAATATATTAAACAAATATTACATAAATATACAAATATGTAATAAAAATACATATATACAAATATAAATATACATATATAAATATACCTACTTATAGATTATATACGATAACACAAATAAACAACGATAGAGATCAAAGTGATGATGATGAAGGTGAACTGCTTTCACAGTTTCATTATTCTTGCTTTGATAAATCTCTCTTGTTACATTATATTGTGATTAAAGAGATCAAGTTATAATTTATAATTAAATTTATTAAGGTAAACTAAAAGATGTAGTCTGAGGTGATAATCATAAAATATAGTTTTAATCTAAAAACATTTTTTAACTAACATTTTCTTATAAAAATATTTTAGGTGGATTGTCTTTCTAATCCTTTGGAGATATATCAAAGGTTGTATAATACTGGAATAGGAGTAGAATGCTCTGAGTTCTATCGTGCTTGGGCATGTTATTGTGAAGAGTCTGGAGACTATAAGAAAGCTAATCAAGTATATATGCTTGGTTTGCAAGCTAAAGCTCAACCATTGGATGAACTTGAGCAGGCTCATATGTGAGTCCATTTATTTTTACTTTTAACATGCTCCTTATTCTACATTAAACATTTCACTTTGATATTTGTTTAAGAATTAATGGGCAATTTGCATTTATTTTATGGAAATGTTTAATGTTGATGAGATTATAATGTGACATTTACACTTTATAAAAATTACTGCTTTGACACCATTCAGTGACACATTTTCTTAGTTATTATGTTTATTTTTCGTACTATTTCAATGACAAGCTGTTGCCTGTGGTTCTGAATGTGTAATATTGTGTTGATTTATTTTTGAATATGTATAGAGTTTCAGATTTAATAATACAACTGTTTTTGTTTAATGTATTTCATAATGTTAGAATTTGTAGGTTACATAATATTTATATATATATAATATGTGTGTACTGTAGATCTTGTTTAACATATCATTTTTAATTTTTAAGCATATTCATAACTGAGGAAATTCTATATAAATAGACTGAATATTTTTTTCGTGTATGTTATGCAATATCTTTATAAATATCATATCTTTCTGAAAAGATATTGTTGAATTTTTTTTCTCAATATTGTCTCAATTTAATTTGGTATTATTTGCGGAAATTTTTTTTTAATTATATCTAATACAAATAAAGAGTTTTATAGACTTCTTGCAACAATTACAGCCATGGTTTGTTTTCAATATTACTATATAGAGGTGTCTACTCTACATAGTAATAATTTGTTTAAATCATGGATATACACAGAATGATACATAGTCTGTCTCTATATTTCATTTTAATAATTTTTTAGTAGGCTTGTGAGTACATGTTTTTAATCTAAATAAAAATATGATCTTGTGAAGAAATATTAGGATTGATTTTTTTATTTAGTTAAGAGTATCTATTTATTATTATTATTATTTATTATGCACAAAATTATAGTAGGTATTTAGAATAGCAAACGATCTCCCACAAAAATTATGGACACCACGGATGGCACCATGGACATTACTAAAATACATTATGATACCCTTAAATTGTAAAGTATATAGCTTATAGCTGATTTAGCAGAAGTATAAACAAATTATTTTGAAATTTTCAAACTTAATTATTTTTCAATGAATATAGTTGATTATAGATAAATGTGTTGTTCCTGGATCACTGAACATCATCATCATCATATTACCAATTCAGTGCTGAACACAGGCTTCTCCCTATTGGGGAATATAACACAAATTAGGTAAAATAATCACAAAATTGTACATTATTCACATAATGCTGTAAACATTTATTACTTTAAATGCAATATTATAGAACATTCAGAAATATTTTGTACAAGAATTGAATAGAGGTGACTCTCAATGTAACACCTCTAGATCTGCACATTCAACAGGAAGCAGCCTTTTCCACTATCCAATTAATGCATCTCGATCTATGGGATAAAAGTCCTCACATTTTTATTCTGAATCAAACAATCCATTTTGAAACACTGATTGCGATTCCATGTAATAGGATTTATAATCATTATATATTGAACAAAAAAATATCAAATAAAAATAAACAAGGATCTATATGCAGTATATGAATTACGCATATACACGGAAGACTCCAAAACTGAGTATGATTCAGGAGCCGTAGTCTTTTTCATAGACCTTAATATAAACATACATATACCGCTTGGCTAACATAGCTCGGTATTCCAATGCGAATGCGTAGTAATAACTGAGGCTGCTATAGCTGTACATAAGTTAGGTATAAATGACATTCATATTAGATACTTATTTGATAGCTCAGTGGTACTAAAAGCACTGTGAAACAACGAGACAAATAAATTAATAATCCGATGTCAACAAGTACTAGATAAGATATCTTCCAATAATCAAGTTGTCCTCCAATGGATAAGGGGACACAGTGGACCTTATGGTACCGATGCCGCAAATTAGCTAGCCAGAAGAGCTTCTGGAATGAAAGTGACAGACCTGTATCCACTTTTTCTTCCATGCTAATAGTTTCGAACACGGATTCGTCAATGATCCACTGACATACAAAATTAAAAATGGACATAATCTACTGATTGCAGACAATCAAAATTGGCGGTACCGTTGTTGGTTCAACCACTGTCAAAACGTTCATATTTAGACCTATCTAGAAACCTTAAAAAATATTATAGGGACAATAAAAGGCCATTGCCCATTAAATAAACATTTATATTATTTATCCTCTGTGAAGCCTGTGAATTTCCCAAGAAGCTTCTGTACTTCTGAGCGGAGCTTGGCTGGCTGTACTAATAATAAATAAATAATATACAATAAACTTATAAAGCAAATAAAAATAAGTTGAATTCGATCATTAATAAAATATCACACATAATAATCTGTTTAAATATGTTTTGTAGGAACTTCCAACTGTTCTTTGCTCAAAGAATGCTTCATGATGACTCCCCAACGAAAAGGAAGGCAGCATCAGCTTTAGCTGAAACTAGAATGGCTCTAACATCCTTGAAGTCATTTAAAAGGCGTAATATTGCCAGTGTTCCTGTACAAAGAGTAGGAGAAAGTATCCGAAGTGTACATCCTGGTGTAGTAAGGCAGCAGCAGCAACACCTTAACAAGCCAAGTTCCAATATTATAGTCAATGTTTTTGAGGTAGGATATCTTTTTTAAAAGTAGGCATTATAATATATAGTTTTTCTTATAGAGCTTAACAGGTTTGATTGTGTTAATACATTACTGAAGTATCTGAAGGTTATCCCAATAACAAATCTATTTTTTTTAAAGAATGAATGACAGTTTCTGTATTATAAAGTACAGTAAAATACCTTGAGCATATTACCTGCTACTGTCTAATCGTGTGGTCCGTGTATAGTGGGTTGTTTAAGGGGAGGATTAGATTCTTGCAGTTATTGACGATATATTACCTGAGAAGAACCTGATCTGTCATTCTATAATGATACAACATTCAGGAATAATATCAAAGAATGAAGGTATGTGTAAGAACTCTTGAGTTGAAGTTTAGTATAAAATGAATATATGACATGAAGTAATTTCAATTTTATCATTACTGCAAGTATTGCCCCTATTTTTGGGATTATAAGTCCAAGTATGGGACTTTATACCACCACACTATCTGTATAAATCCTCTGTGGCATGGGTGCTTCTGTCACATACATTGCTGCTAAGCAGTTTGAAGTGGTCTGTTTCGTAGATGTTGCAAGTTCATGGGTTATAATGGCCACTAATTGCATGCCCCTATTATTTATTTATATTTTACAAATAAAATATTTTACGTTTTTAACAGGATGCTCCATCAACATCACATGCATCACATGGTATTCCTGTGGCCGAAGATGCTGGGCCTGCTTCATTAGTGCAGGCTTGTAGTAATCTTGAAAATGAGAAGGAAGTTGGTATCTGGACAAATCCTAAAACCAAAATGGTACATACAAATGTTGTACCACACCAGCCTTTACCCTTTACACGTATGTATCAATTTTATTAACAGATTTTTTATTTAAATTAAAAATAGTTTTGTTTTATTAAATTATTTAATACTTGTCTAATAAAATCAACCATATTATTTATTTTGTAATACATAGTTTTACTTTTAATAAATAATTATAAATACAATCCAACTTAAATTTTCATATATGTGTATTGGGGAAGATATTATTTTCCTTTTTTTTAAGTCCATTCTCTAATAATTTGGAGATAGTGTAACAACATAACATGTAAATTTTTTCTGTCAGCATATGAAGACGAAGATGATGTACTAAGGTTGCCTGAAAACCATATGGCGTATTGTGCAGATGATTTATCATTTACTGTGCCTCTATGTGTACCTGATCCTCCAGATACTACAAAAATCCCATGTTATAACAAATCACAGGTAAATGAAAAACTATATATTTATTTGTGGTCAATTTTATACCGTTAATTACAAAGTTGTATAATATTCCAATATATATTTTAGGTATATGTTAATGATCAAGAATATAGTTTAGAGGAAATCAGATCAAAAAAATATAATTTAATTAAAAAAGTTAAGACTGAAAAACCTGCAAATGTAGAAGTGCCGCCACGTTATGGCAGCATAAATGAAACTCTGGCTCAATGCAGTGCATTGGAAACCTTAGCAAATTGTGCCCTAGACACTGAACAAGATCATTTAGGACAACTTATGCCATTAACAATGCCTACTTTACAAAATATTACGAAAGTAACAAATATGCATTCGCCGGGAGAGCCAAAAGTGTTGGTCAACTTAGATTCTAAAGAATTTAGTGAATTAAGTGCAAAAAAGAATGATGAAAATCAAAAACCATCTCATTATGGTTCAGATAAGGAAAATCAAATGGACAAACTTGCAAACACTAGCAACTATGCTAATGAAAATAGTCCAGCTCCTTATGTTAAAAATAATCTAATGGAAGAATTCAACAGAAGCTTAATGGGTAATCTCCTTGGAGATTCTGTCACAGTTAACACTAAGGAAGCTCGATGGGAGCTTAGAAACTTATTTAATGACAATGGTAAATATTGCATTGTGATTGATTTGTCTATATCAATTATAATATTTCTTATTAATGTATCAAGTAAAAAAAAATTACAAACATGTAATAAAATTATCATGATGTATGTTAACATTTATAATATTATTCTATAAAGATATTAAAATTAAAATTCATTATTTTTGTATTTATAATATTTTTCATTTTATAGAACCATCTATGGTACAGCCAGTAGTGCAACAGTTTGAAGTACCAAATTTTGATATACATGAAGATAGATCTATGACAATAGCTATTAATACAAAAAAGAAACAAGAAATTGTTGATGTGAGAACATTACCAGAAGACAAAGAGAATGCAAATAAATTTGCAGCACCTGTAATTGCACCGCAAAATGTATGTATACTTCTGACATTTTACTATCATATTATTGTAAGTTTTTGAACTGTATAATGCATTATATTCTGTTCAATTTATATGTTGTAATATGATGTTTAATTTTTACCATAACTATAAACATTAAAGAACTGACCATATTAACTATTAAAATTAAATTTTCATTATAATTCTGTTATTTATATCATGTCGGCATTCAATAGAAATTTTGTTTTCATAAATAATAAATATATTTTATAAACGTGATTTATGATTTATAGTCATAGAAATATTTGTAAAAAACTTCATGCTCAAGTCTTTAATTTTTATTACAGGTTAACAAAACTGCCTTTTATGAGGAGCCATCATGCACTCAAGTCTTCAATTTCAACATCAAAGATGCTAGTACCCCAAACATGTCTCAGTTTAAAAAGCCTACAAATTGTGTAGACCCATCTACCAAGTTTCCCTCTGTACCAAAATTTTGTATTGACGAGAGTGTTATAGAACATGCTGATCCAGGTGTAGGTAAGAGGGAAGAGAGTTCTAGGCAACATGCGACAGATCAACATGCTACGGTGGAAAATCAAGGCGCGGGACTTTCAGTTATTATGGAAGCTACGCGGGAATACAACAGGTATATTTACCATAAGGAAATTAATTCCATAAAATAGTGTAATATGGTCTATTATTCCCAGTATATTCGCGCTAATCATGTTTTAAAGGTATACTAATTAACTTTTATGCGCACTCTAGTCTGTACGAATAATGATATTCTTTTTGTATGAAGTTTAGTATTGTATTTCAAAACAAAATCACTAATATTTATTTTTCGAGTTGAAATAAAGTAGTGCACAAAGTTGACAACTCAATTCTTTTTTATTATCTATTTAGATTATACAGAAATCCTGAGGTGCGCGCACTTATCGAGTTATCTTAACTCTTTAGGCATGTCGTAAGTTTTGATTATTTATTTTTATGTATTTCAGTAAATCTGGTTCCAGTTCATCTGGCCAGTCAACAAGGACAAATTTCACTGGATACACTACAAATTTTGATTCAATGTATAATAATCCCAATGATCCATCCCAACAACCTACTTCATCCAAACGAAGTTCATTATCTACACAGCCAAGAATGCCCAATGGAACATTTGCAAGGGTTTACCCCCAAAAGCGAGAGCAGCCAGAAAACAAACCGGTTGCACCGTCCACATCAGTGCCTTATCTTTCTCATGATCATCAGTATCAAAAACCGATGCCTCCAAATTACAATGGATACTCACCTCAAAGGTCTATGCATTCCCACTATCAACAGAACTTTAGCTATCAACAAGGTTATACTGGTAATCAAGTTATGAATCAACAACAGCAGCAGCAGCAACAGGGATATGCAAGTCCAAGCCCAAGTGCTTATCACAGCCCACAACATCCGGGTATGCAAAGCCCTCATGCTATTAATCAAGCAGTTCCTCCTGGTTTTCAAAGTCCTACTTATTCAACTCAAGTAGGGTATCATAGTCCTGGACATGTAATGATGAGTCCCCAACAACAGCAACAACAACAATTTAGTGGACGTCAAGAATATCAATATTCTAGTCAAACAGATAGGCAACATATTTATGTGAATCAGCAGCAACAACAGGCTGCAGCTGTTTTTCAAAGTCCTCCACATCAAACCCAGTATCAAAATAATCAATATTATCAACGCACCAGTGCGGCAGCAACGAGTCCAAGTTATAATCAACAAAACTATCTCAATATGCACAATCAATATAATAATACTAATATGTATTCAAATGTCAATTCCCATACGAACAACCAAAGTTTTAATGCTATGCAAAGTCCTTATAGACAGCCTCCTAAACAGGCGGTTGAAAGCACATCTGGTTATGGTGCCCAAAATAATCAGTCATTTCAAGTCTACCAAAGTCCACAATTATCTCAAAATAATTATCGTAATGCACCACATAGTACAAATGTTCCTACAGAGAATACAGATTCTCATATCAGGCAAGAACCTCATATGAATGCGTCATTAAAACCACAAGAAAGAGACATAAAAGAGCAAACTGCGACGAATAAAGTCACAACTCAATCGAAACCCGTAGCTCATCATAAAAATCAGACTTCCGCTTTACGAACTATTAGACATGATCAACCTAATGTAAAGATCGGCCAAAATTCTCCTGATATTGGTTTCTCAAACCAATTTCTTAATTTTATATCTAATAGAAATGAACCTAAAGACAATGCAAATACCCCGAAATTTTCAAATAGCCCAAGTATTTCTCAAAAAATGCATAAAAATCTTTATGTATCAAGTCCTGAGCAAGCCCAAGTACCTCCATCTTCCGGTCTTTCCGATTCGGATAGTAAAGACGGAATGACGGCGCAAACAGTGATGCCAATACAATCTGCTAAAATATCACACAGTGTTGAAAAACAAAAAGATATATCTAAAAGACAATTGGATTTCGAACATCGTGTTGAAATTCAATCAGAGGATAGTAGAGACTCTGTTAGCAAAGAAAGCAGAATTTCATCTGTTTATTCAAGGCAGTCTGATTTCCAATCTGATGGTTATGGAATGGATGTGGACAGTGAGAATTCTATGGAGTGTGGTGCATTCAAATCAACTCACTCTATATCTCTGGTGGAAACGAGTGACATACCAAGACCTGCTGATATTGATTTTCCAAAAGTAATTGATCCATTCAATAAAAAGATTTTAAGCTCACTGCTAGAGTATGTTAAATTTCCCAATAAAACTCACGCTGATGGCTATGTGGAAGTAAGGTCTGTTCCAAAACTACAACCTACTACTACGATTAGCATTGGAAATAACAGATTTTCCATAGAAAAACAATTAGGGAAAGGAAATTATGGTGCTGTGTTTCTTTGTCTTGATATCCACAGCAATAAAACTGTGGCTGTTAAATATCAAAAGCCTAGTAGACCTTGGGAGTTTTATATTTGTCAAGAAATAAAAGCTAGAATAAAGGATCCGTTTATGGTAAGTAATTTATTCATGTGTAATTACTTCTAAAACATTATGATAGCAATTGTTGCCTTTTGTATAAAAGAAAAAAGTAATTGTGTTACAAGCTTTTTTATAAAGAAGATTGAAAAATATATCGTTATAATAAAAACATGAAGTTGTTATTCAATAAAAACAATAGATATACCAGAGGGAGCTTATGTACAAAAATTGTTTGCTTGGGTACCTCTGTCCCATTCGTGTTTCTACAGTGAAGCAGTTGTGTTTGCATGGCTTTTTTGGTTTGAAGGAAAGGATATGACAGTGAATTTACAGGGTACAGAGGAATAAAACCTTAGTCCTCAGGAATGGCAACGCATAAAGGGTATCATGGGCGAAACAATATACTCTGTTATATCCATGATACTGCTTATATCTATAGGCGACGGTTACCACTTTCCATCAGGTGGGCCGTCAGCTTGTTTGCCATTCTAAGTTGCATAAAAAAAGATATATTTATCAAAGTAATATTTGCGTCATTATTATCATATCAGCCTTTAACTGTCCACTGCTGAACATAAGCCTCCCCATTGGGGGTTTTCCTAGTAGTTGCCACGCTTGGCAGATGGATTGGCAACCGCAGTCAGGCTTTGAAGATGTTTTAAGAGGGACGTTGTTGCCCATTCCTCACCCTCCCTTAATTGTCTCTTATGACACCCACGGGAAAAAAAGAGGTTATCTATTCTACTCTGGGACCACATGGCCTAATATGTGTATTTGACATAAAATAATATATTCATCTATATTTTTTCAGCTTCCAGGATACATGGATATAACTACAGCATTTTTAGGAGATAATGCTAGTTTATTCGTATCTGAATACTCTAAGTATGGATCTCTTTTAGATGTTGCAAACAAAGTAAGAGTTGCAACTTCGAAATGTATCAATGAATTTATAGTAATTCTATTGACGTCTGAAATGCTATCTATAGTTCACTACTTGCACAAGGCACAAATCATTCACGCGGATATTAAACCAGACAACTTTTTGTTAATGAAGATGTGAGTGTCTTATATCTAAAGTAATTTGAGTCTATTTTTCGTATTTAAATTGATTATCGATTATAGGGTAAATACTGTTCAGTGGACTGATTATCTTATTTTTACAGCCCTGCACAAGAATGGCGAACACCATCTTTGCAGCTGATTGACTTGGGGTGTGCCATAGACATGTCCTTGTTCCCAGAAGGAACCACATTTAATGAAGTAAGTTGTTATGTTCATATAACGTAGGTTGTGGCAGACGTTAGCATCTAAAATTGGCTGATGCTCGATACATATGTCTATAGGAAACTTCTAATATTAAAAATTTAAATATTTAGTTCTTTATCAGTTTGAAACCAATTGTTTGCCTATAGACATGAACAGCACTATGAATATCACAGAAAATATATAATGCAACACCCATAGTTTCCCTTATTATTATATACCTGAAGACTAGTTATCTCCTGTAACCAGTAGTTTTACAGCTACTAATAATAGATTTTGAAAATGTTATGATCAGATAAACCAATTTTTATTCTAATCATCACACACACACACATACACACGCACACAGAACACTCATACACACGCACACAGAACACTCATACACACACTCACATACACTCGCGTACTAGCACACGCACACGCACACGCCCACACAAACTATGCACCTACGTGTACCCAAACTCACATGAAACATTATATGATTAGATTAACCCTGTTCGCCGCATCATAAATGTAAAATGACTTGCTTTGACTTCCACGAGACAGGCTTTGCCTAGTGTGGGGTCATAGCTATATTGTACCATAGGCATATTTGTTCAAGGAAATAAAGATATTCTATTCTAATTAAACAATAATTGCAGGATTCAGCAAGTATGAAACTATTTTAACATTCTATACATGTCTTGCGGTCATGTGATCTATTTCAATATTATTTAATTTGTATTGTTAGTTTCTTGCTTTAGGCTTTCCTTAATGATTATTGTTGAAATATTACAGTTGATTGCTACTGAAGGTTTCACATGCACTGAGATGCGAGAAGGGAAACCGTGGACATATCAAACTGATTTGTATTGCTTGGCTGGTACAATACATGTCATTCTAATGGGTAGCTACATGAAAGTAGCCAATCGTCTAGGTCAATGGAATATAGACAAGAAATTGCCCAGGTAACTAACTGTGTGGTCAATTTAGGGGCGCCATTTTTCTATCTCTGAATAAAAATTCCAATTTGATATCACAGGGAAATCTTTATGTTTATCATCAATATGAACTAAATTTATAATAGTTTTGAATCATATTATAAATTTAGTTTATAGTGGTCCTTAAAGTAGTAATTCAGGGAAATTATCAAATTAAAAGATTAGGTTAAGAGATTACAAAAATGACACCTCAGAATCGAGTCCAATGTTTAATTTTCTCACACCTTTTCTTCAAGTAGTGTAATTTATATTAAATAAAAAGAAGTGAAATATGAAATTAATTTTTGGCCGACATATATGTGCCTTTATGTTATTAAAAAATTATAACAACTAAATGAAGTATAATAGTGATATGAAAGCGAAAAATAAACTTTGTTTGAGGACTTGTAGTTCATCTTCTATGTATGTAGAAGTGAAACGCCATCATTGGTTAATCATGTAATCTCCAGGCTTTTTTTTTAAGGAATGATAATAAAAAGGTAACCCCGCCTATACTATCGGTAAATACTGGCGGGGCACCAGTGAGGGATGATTGGTGAGAATGAAAAGGCAGGTTAGTTAGTCCATCATGATGAATTTAACGATAAATTAGTCACGATGGTTTCCAAGGGGACCCACGTGGAGGTCGATCTGATAGGGTATATTGATAGCTATAGGGATTAACCCTATTACTAACAATCCCCTTCCCCACTCCGAAATCTCCAGGGTAGGTTTACAGTATATACGCAAACTTTTTATTGATGTTTACATGTCACATGAGGAAACTGTGACAAGTACCTAAATAATTTTGGTTTATTATATTATATTAATTAAATTAATTTATGGTTTAAAATATTTTCAGGTACATGAAAGTTAGCTTATGGGACAAGATATTCACAACACTACTAAATGTTCCTGATTGTAATAACTTACCTGATCTAATGGATCTCAAGAATGAAGTAGATAGCGTCTTGAGCGAAATCGACAACCTTGGCTCTCAACTCCGTAACTTTGCTAATGTGCTTAAATCTAGATAAATGTGTGAATGGTCCTGATGTATTTATTGCATTTAGATTCTATGGTGACTGTAAAAACAAGTACCTAACATGTATTATTATTAACAATATAAATACAAATTATGTCCTATATTGATGAATCCTGATCTATCTCTAAGTTAATTTTATTGCTTTTTCATTATAAAGCAATAACTATAAGATATCAGAATCTACAATCTACTTTACAATATGCCTTGTTGTGTTTAGTTAAAAATGTGATATTGTGATTTTTAGTTCGTTTTAGTTTAGAACGAAAACATGGCTTAGATATTAACTTGTTAGCTTAATAAATGTTGAAAGATTATTTAGGTTTCATTTATTTTTGTACAACCTAATAAGACATGCACATCACCCATTTCTTGTTTGAACTGTAATTATAATTAATAAACAATTACCTGGTTGACACTTTTTTTTATTTTGTAACATCCACTACCAATACATCCAATGTACCCGAAATATAAAAAGAAGCATTTTATAAAATGTTTTCTGGGAACATCAATTTTTCTGAAGGCTTGAGAACAAAAATCATTGAAACTAGACAGAATTGGCATGTGTTGAAAATCACCCACATTTTGCTATAAAATGTTTAAAATTTAGATTAATGACTGTACACTGTGTAGATACACAGCACAAATAGACGACAATCATTGTAATGTAGCTTAAAAAAAAATTAGACAATTACTTTTTTAATATAAAATTATATGCTCTTATCTTTCTTTGCATGTATGGTGTTAAATGTTAGAGTAGATAGAATTAAAAATCCATTTTTATGAAAAAAATATTTATTGTGAAGATTTTTCCAATCTTTGTCTTTTTCGTTCTTGATATTCTTGTACATTGTCAAACTTTCTTTTATATAATACCTTAATAAAATCAAAGTTCTCTTTAACTTCACTTGTGGTAATATTATTTTCAAATACATTAATAGTTTTATACAATTCCAGTGATATCTTACCATCACAATATAAAACATTATATATTGTAATATTAGAATTACTATCATTATAAAGAACAATAGAGGAATTGTGAAATTTAACAGCATCAGGGAAACTATGTAATTTAAGTTTTTGTTCCAATTTATGAATAAATTTGGCATTTATAGTTTGTAAACTATAAAACAATAAAACATTATAAGTATATACAGCAACTGCCAGCAAACTGCTTGTTTCATTGAGTTTACAGATAGCATAATGTACTATTGGTAATGTATTCACTTCTATACCTTCATCATCCATTATTTTACAGAATTGTTCCTGTAGATGTGTTTCATTAACATCAAAGGAAGTATCAATGCTATAGCAAAGTAAACCATTTACATAGTCCCAACACTTAATAGTTCCATCGCCAGATGTACTTGTTAAATATTTATTGTCATGGGGCAAAATTTCAATGTGATTTACAAATTCTTTATGTCCTAGGCAGAATGTTTGAATGTTATAAGTGTTAGGATAATTTGAAACCCTTATTTTTTCATCTCTGTCACATGATATGATGTATTTGCCATCATAGGTTTGTAACACATCCAATAATAAACTTAGATGTCCTAAGAGTTTAGTGCCAGAACTCTCAATCTTTATATTAAATATTAATACGTCACCACTTTTATCTGCTATTAAGATTTGATGGTTATCAGTTGCAAATCTTATTTTACTAGAACTTCTTGGAAGTACTATATTTTTCAATATTTCCCCAAGTGGTAAAGAATATATTATTAATTGTTTAGATGCTGATGTTGATACAGCTAAATACTTTGAATCTGAAGAAATTGCTATATCAGAAATATAATCAGTTTCTTTTGATTTATTTTGACTTGTTATTTCTATGCATTTGTCGAGTGAAAAATCATAATAATTAATATACAGGCCTTTTGCTATTGCAATAAAATTGTCACTGGTTGCTATTGAAACCATTTCTTATTTCGTATAAGAATAAAATTTATAAAATGACTGTTTAATAATTTATTTTAAATAAATTTAATAGGTAAATGAAACATGTGGGAAATCACAGATTTGTGTTTTGACATTAGTGACAGTGACAGTACACATAGTTCAATTTATGGATATTTATGGTTTTTATATTACATTACTCACTATCTATGGCATTACTCAGATATGTACATAGGTATAATCTTAAAAACAAGGATTAAATATAAGGAATGATAAAATAAAAACTGTATATCATATAGTTGCCTGCTTTCTTCTTAAGCAAATATAATTAGTAAAAAGAGAATGAAAAATACACCATCAGTTGTTTTTTTCTCAATTCATAGCAGGTTAGTGTATAGCTTGCTATGAATTGATAAAAATGCCTTGAAAGTGTACCTTTCGTCCTCTTTTTACTAATTGTATTTGCATAAGAAAAAGGGAGGCAACCATACGATTTACAGTTTTTATTGTATCATTCCTTTATGTAATTTCTTTTCTTAGAGTATAACATATTTATTTTCTGAAATGGATGTGTTGAAGAATAACAAGATAAGAAATGAGTACCTACTATATGCAATAAGTCTAAAAAAATTGGACCAGTAACGGAGAAGTTGTAAAGCTTAGTTACTAAGTAAAAGATTGCCTTGGTATGGTTATATTTATGCACAGAAATGAAAGCTATGTTTTAAAGGAAATATTAAATGTAAAGTGGACAAATGTAAATAAAGGGGAGGATTGTAGAAAAAGTAGATAGACTGTGTGAAAAATTATATGCATTAAAGAGGAGTGAGCATGGAAATGGTAGTTGACAGGGATTTATGGATGAGGAAGACATTCTGCGTTGATTCGAAATAAATGGGAAAAATCAATTAATGATGATGATTATATCTATTTTATTGAGATTCATTGATGAGGCCTACAGGTATAGATAAAGAATAGTAAGGCCCTTAGATTGCATACAGTCAAATTTACAGACATATTCAAATTACAGATTAGATATTATAATAGTACCTGTTGTTAATTACTTTATGCAAGTGATTGCCACGGGTGATGAATGATGCCATGTCGTACAGATTTGACACTGTCAAAGAGTATATAACCAAGGGATAAGAGAACGCACTTTATACAAAATTACGTAAAACGCCTTGGTCAGTAATATCTCACAAAATCCTCGTTTTCTCGTTATGTTGGCTACCTTGATGTTTAAAATGGAAATGAATAGGTTATATAATATGTATATAAGAAATATATAAGTTTATGCCAAATAGTATGTTCCAATGGACATTTTTTTGCAAAATTAAAACAAAAGTACATTTTTAAATATATTTATCATCACTACATAGTATAAAACAAAATCGCTTTCCGTCTGTCTGTCCCTATGTATGCAAGATCTTTCAAATTATCTAACGGATTTTGATGGTTTTTTTTGAGGCATTTTTTTTTAATTCATGATTCAAGAGGTTCAAGTGATTCAAAAGGAAAGTTATACATATATTTAATACATGCATAATATAGTAGATAAATCAATAATTTTAGTTAATGTCAATGTCATAAATAAACACATTTTTTTGGAATTATATTGCAACTTGAATCCTACGGGATAGATCAAAATAATATACTACAGTATTATACACCTTAAGAGGGTCTAGGAAAAAATCCGCTATGGTATATGCCTGTTTCTTACAAATAACACACAATAACACCTTTTCATACTTTACTTTTTACGGCAAAATAATGACTTTTTTACGAAGCGATTTTAAGCAATACAGCATTAATTCTTATTCAAATATGTACCTTAAATGTATTATATATTGAATATAGGTCAATATATAATATTTACAGTTATAGATCAATATAAAAAAGCATGTAATTTAAATGAATATTTTCGACGATATTATAGATTTAAAATAGCGGTTGTGACAGTATCGGCCGGGTGCCGGCGGCACTATTTAGTATCACCATTGCACCCATGTAAAGCCGGGGTCGATCGTTAGTATAAGCGTAATTCCTACGTCAAATAAATAAAAATATGAAATACAAAGCTAAAACTATTCCACAAATAATTTAAATACCAGCCATTTAGATCAGATTTCACAGTATTTTGTTAATTGGCATTATTGCGATTTCATCATTTACTAAATATTGGCATGTTGATTCCTGACCAAATCCATACATTAAAACTAGTACGATATAGACTGGTCACTGTGACAGATTAAGGTACTGTTACCTACATTACGTATCTTATATTTAAGTAGTTTAAGGTAGACAATTAGAAACTTATCTTTTACTCATTTTATTATTCAGACAGTTATTAAATAAGAAAGGTTCATTAATATGGTTTCTTCTTGGAGTCCAGATAAGAAACATAGTGATGTGGAAAGGTAGGAAATGAATCCTAGTCAATTTATGAATTCTAATTGATATATATTTAATATTTAAATTGCTTTTATCATCAACTTTAAGAGAACAAAAATATCGTTTTCATACCTACATACAGAATTAATAAACCCTAACTAAATTGTTTTCAGATGGATCTGTATTTATCCTGCTTATATGAATAGTAAAAAAACACTTGCAGAAGGCCGTAAACTATCAAAAGCTTACTGTGTCGAAAATCCGACTCATCAGGAGATCAGAGATGTTCTTTTAGCCACAGGTCTACATGTTGGTGTGGAAAATAAACTGTATCCACGAGAAAGAAGTAAGGTAAATGTTTTTACATGAATATAAAGTTTTTCTTTCTGAATATGTACTGTCTACAATGTGTTTCAATATGTATTTTTTTATAGTACTGAGGTGGCAATCAAGTATACGCTTATGCTTGTTACCATAAGGTAAGTGGTGGTTACTGTAGGAACATGTACATGTATATATAAAATAAGAATTAGTATAGTTTCCCAGTATAATTTAAATATTTTTTTAAATGTTTTAGTAAATGTTCAGTAAATCAATAACATTGTTGAGTCAGCATATTCTACTCTATAGCAACTTAATTGGCATAATTATAGAAGATATTCATATGGTTAGGGCTTAAGGTTGGATGTAATACTTAAATATAAAACTCATTCTGTCATCATTCTGTTTTATATTATTTTATTTTATTTTTGTCTGTTGAATATTGCAGGAAATGCAGTATAGAGGCAGGATTCGAGTGCAATTGAAAAATGATGATGGCACACCAATTAAACCAGAATTTCCTACTAGGGAATCGGTTATGAAATTCATTGGTGAATCAATACCAAAACTGAAAACTCGTCAGAATAGGTGTGTATTATTTTAACTTTTGAAAATACAACATATTGAAAATGATGCTGAATACTGCCATACATTGCTGTAAAATATTCTAATTCACCTTATTATCACAATAGATAGGTTATCTATCTATACTTATAATAAGTCTGTAGAGAGGTCAATTCTATACATGAAATATATTTCCAAAATATCTATCAGGGAGTGATTAGTGATTGATACTGATGCCAAAAACACAAAGAGTAAAATTTTTGTCTGTCTGTATGTTCCTTATAGAAACAAAAACTAGATGACGGATTTTAACGAAACTTGGTACAATTATTCTTCATACTGCTGGGTAGGTTATAGTTTTTATCACGCTACGATTAATAGGAGCAGAGCAGTGAAGGGAAATGTTGGGTAAACGGGAGAAGTTACTCCATCTTACGTACTTAAGAATTTTTTTTATATACCACTGAGGTGGCAAATAAGCATATGGCCCACCTGATGGTAAGTGGTTACCATAGCCTAAGAACGCCTGCAATACCAGAGGTATTACGTGCGTGTTGCCGACCCTGAAGAAACCTCTTTACCCCTCTTTTGAATTATTTATTACTCACAATTGTACAAGGTATAGCATGGGTATTTCAATATAATAATCTGTGACATCAATTTTTTTTAATGGAAAATAATGGTATGGTAACCCCACCTGTGCTAATGGTATAAGCTGGCGGGACACCAGTGAGGGATGATAGGTGAGAATGGAAAGGTAGGTCAGTTAGCCCATTATGATGAATACACCTGGAATTCAGCACAATCATTTCCAAGAGGGACCACATGTAAGTCGACCTGACTCCTACCGGTTTCTAAGCCGAGTGCACCCGGCCCTTGCGTGAGGGGGGCGGGGGGGCGGGGGGAAGGGAAGTCGACCTGACAGAGTATATTGCTAGTAATGGGACTGTTAGTATTATTAACAATCTTCCCCTCCCTCCTTTCTGTGTTTCATCTATTTATTTTGTTCATGTCTAAACTGACAATGAAATTTGTTAACATACTATATGGGCATACTGGATCATTATCTATCTATATTACTCTAAAGGATTTTTTATGTCTTTTTGGAAAGAAATCTTTTATTGAAGAAAAAAAAACGCCTTTTATTGTTACAATAATAAAAATATTTAAAAATTGAATTTGTTGTGTTCTCGTCTCATGTTACTCATTGTTTATGAAAAAAAAAAAAACTGAGAGCCTTTTGTACAATGAAAGGATTTATGAAAAGTTTTAAAAAGAACAGGCGATAAGCTTTGCTTAGGCAAATTCATAGAAATGTATTTAGTCTTTTTCACTTTTGGGCAAAAATTTGATTTAGTGATAATATGTAAAGGTAGGTAATTAATTTTATTTTAATTTTAGGCCTGCTGATCAACAACCTCAAACAACAAGTCAATCTAGCAGCAAGAGTAAGGGCAAGAAAGGCCGTAGATAATATATTACAAACAAGTTATTCTTTATTTTATTAAAAGTCTTATAATAAACATATAAGTTAAAATAGGTGCTATTATTTATCAATTATAATAAATACTAAGTGCAAAAGTAATTTATATTATTTTGAATGTATATGAATAGACTGTTCTGATATTCTATTTTGACCATTTATATCTCTTGCAACACTGTATCCATCAAAAATAGTAACTGCTGGTAATTTGCCTTCAGGTGCACTCTGTAGAGCTAATGTTAAATTAGATAAATCTTTTATTGATATTACTGTTTCATGTTCTGTATAAGTTTCTTCAACATCTGTGGTAGGTGCGCCATTTCCGTTAGGGACTCGTTTATAACTGGTGTGATTGTGTGTGACATGGTACTTGCTTTTTTCATTATTTTCTTCGGATTGTAATTGCTCTGAGTTATCGTTGACAATAATCTTGGATGGAAATCCTCGTAATCCTCTATCATGTTCTGATAAAGTGTTTGAGCTTTCTGTTTCGTTTCCTCTAACTTCGTGTTTATAATATTTTTTATATTCATCGACGACTCTAATGAGTTCATTGGAGTTTTTAACTTTTTTTTCGAATTTTTCGGTTGTCTCTGCTCCATCAATTCCTGTATTTCTGGTATGGTTTTCATTTCTTCTTCGGAATTCATGGCTACTTGCATTGTTTCGTGTAGTACAGTCGGTATTTTCTTCATTACTTTTTGAATAGGACTCATTTTCTCGGATTCTGGTATTATATTCACTATCTCCATTATTCCTGGGGATATTTCTCTCAGTGCTTCTGTGAAATGTGGAGCTGCTTCTTTCACTGTATCCATTATTGTCTCGCTTACCGCTAGAGGTATCTCTTGAAAGTAGTAAGGATATGTTCTTATTCTGTCTGACAATGCCGATGTCACCCATGGTAGTATTAATGGCTGTCTTGGCGGTAGTCTTGGCAGTATCTTTCGTGATCTGAGTGGGGACAGTATGGGGTGTAATAATTGCCGTTTCTTCCGGCACAGGCTCTTCTTCGGAATCGGATATGAGTCTGCATGTACATACCATTCTGCGTTTATTAACGGCACGTAATTTGCTTGACTTATTTGTTTCTGAGATCTCAATGGTTTCGCTTGCGTCCGATTTAACAAGAGTATCGTATAACATGCCGAGATTTCTAAGTAAAGGAATATATTTTTGATTAGTTTCGCCATTTTCATTTACTTCTCTACTGATTAATTGATCTTTGCGTTTGTTACGTGATTTCTGTTTCAGTTTTTTTGGTCTTAGTGGACTTTTGTTTTGAAAAGTTTTCTTGTTTTTGATTGGATAAATATTTAAGATTCCAGGAATCTTGTTGACTGTAAAGAAGCAATAATTGAAATTCTTTTTACCTGTACCTTCCTAAATTGTCGATTTATTAGATTTTTAAGTTAAGTGTGAAGGAATAGAATATTTATTACCTTTTGCCTTAATTCTTGACTTTATCCAAGAAGTTGGGGCAATTACTTTGTTTAAAGAGAACAGTTCAGCTCTACTTTCTGAAAAGAAAAAATGAAACTTGTTAAACATCTTTTAGATTTCTGTGTAATGATGGTATCAACGTAATGTCAGCACAGTGTAATAAAATTATAAATTAAATATGGCGATACCAATTTGCTAACAATTGCTAACAATGAGTACTAATAACACTGTACTAACATTCCTTTGACTAGAATTTTTATTACGTGCCAGATAATACCTAGGTATATTATACAAACTTAAATATAGAAAAGTTTATTAAAAATATCGTCACGTAGAATGAAAAATAATCTGGTGAACATTTGATACTTCCATACGGATTAATATGAAACACCTAACTATGGAAGTTCTAGTTTATTCATATTAATTTACGTATTGTTGGAATCGGATTAAACGTATTTACCTAATAAACCTCGATTTTAATTAACAATGCTATCATTGTGTAATAAGTTATGAGGTTGATGTACTTTATATATATAGGCATGATTTAACATATTGAAATACTTTAAATAAAGATTATTTCATATGCCAGAGGTAATCCTTATTCTTATGGTAGAAAGTAACATATATAATCTCGTTGGGCTGAAGTCCATAAACTTTCATCTATCCTATGATCCTATTAATATTATAAATGCGAAAGTTTGTAAATCTAGATGGATGTTTATTTCTCTTTCACGTAAAAACTGAACGGATTTGAATGTAATTTGGTACATTGGTAAATTATATCCTATCTTAGCACATAGGTTATTTTATATACTGATTCATATGCGTGAAGCCGCGGTGTATAATTAGTACAAAAGAAATGTAACATCAGACAGTTGGCACTCGAAATTTAATTGTGAATTATAAAAGGGGAATGAAATATAAACGTATATAACAAGTCGCATACTGAAATGCGAGTACTTTAAGTGGATAGGTTTTATGCAATTTAGAATGCCAAGCATGTTGATGGCTCACCTGATGGAAAGTGGTAACCGTCGCCTATAGACTTGATACCTATAAGTCAGAATAGAGGTATACAATTGTTATGTAACAAATTTTAATAATTCAGTGTAGTTTCTTGCATTTTTACTAGATACTTAACTATATATACTAACCGGAATTTTTTGACTTTGTTATTTTGTTTAGAGTTTGGTTTTTCTTCAACTCTGCATTAATTAAGTCGTTTAGTGAAATTGGTTTTACAATCGAATCTGAAAAAAGGCGATAAAGTGTAAAAAATTAATAATTTGCACCTGTAGGTATTTTAGAAAATATTTAGTAATAGTATTATCCTGAGTATGATAGAAATATTTCCAAATATTAATATTTATACAATTCGATATTAATTAGTATAAACTAAGAATAACAATTATATAGTATATAACGGATATAATACCTTTTTTGCATGAAAACTGTTCAGTAGCAACCTACGTGCTCTCTCGGTGTGCTTAATAGAGCGAAGCATTACTTCACGCCGGATCAGCGATTAATGCTCTACAAATCGCAAATCCGACCCCATATGGAGTATTGCTGTCACTTATGGGCGGGAGCACCAAGATATTCAAGGTATCTAACCTTGAATATCTTGAACCCTTCGACTCAGTACAACGACGAGCTTTGAGAATTGTCGATGATTCCAGGCTTGCAATCGGTATTGAACCCTTAAGTCTTAGGAGAGATTTTGCCTCACTCTGCGTGTTCTACCGCTTATACAACGGATTGTGCTCAGAGGAATTATTCAATATGATGCCTACGGCCACTTTTTACCATCGTACGGCTCGCCATTGACAGGGAGTTCACCCTCATACCTTACAGCCTAAATGGTCGCGTACAATATGGTTTCAGAGATGTTTTCTCCCACGAACACTCAGGTTATGGAATGAGCTCCCTGCCGAGGGACTACAGCATGGGGTTTTTCAAAAGGGGGGTAAAGAGGTTTTTTCAGGGTCGGCAACACGCGCGTAATACCTCTGGTATTGCAGGCGTTCATAGGCTACGGTAACCGCTTACCATCAGATGGGCCGTATGCTTGTTTGCCAACTCAGTGGTATAAAAAAAATACGTATATTTTTACTATATTTCTTATACGACTCATTTTTTTGACATTTTATTTTTGGTGTCTATTTAACTATTTTATTATATTTGGACTACCTTTACAAATCCAATAACTATTAAAAATAGCCATTGGGATGGTATGAGGGATTAAAGGATATTTATTGGTTGCTATCTAGAATCTGCCAACCATATTTCATGAGTATATTTTCACTATCTAAGTAGGCATATACAACATAATAGGTTTATGATATACAAGCTTTTACCCGAGACTTTGTCTTCGTGTTCACTGACCGGGATAAAAGTAACGTACATTCTTCTCCATCCCCTATAGCAGGGGTGGCCAAATATTTTGATAATCGGGCCACATTGCAGATGAAAATTTGACTCCGGGCCAAACAGTTTATTTTTCTAATTGTAAGTTTAATTTTTGCTAAGGATGTCAATTAATGAATTTAAAAAACCAACATTTTTGAATCAAAATATTTATTAAGCGCTGAAAAGAGCGGTTGTCCGGGAGGAAATTTTGGCTCCCACCGGCCCTCATAATGTGCATAAGTATTGCTTAATATTATATTTTATCTAAAATTTTTTATGCACTAATTTATGTTAGACAAAAACTAATATTTGTGTTTTTAATAATAATATATACAATGCTTCAGGGGCCAGATTAAATGGTGGGCCTGGGCCGCCTTTTGTCCAGGTCTGCCCTATAGTACGTAAATATATACAAAATTTCATATTTGTTAAGTTAAACAAATAAATAAACTTTGTTTCAAATTTATAATACTAGTAATATAGAAAGTCATTAAGTATAATCCATCAAGTTTATTAGGATTCTCTCGATAAAATAAATGTGTAATACTAGTGGACTAGTTTACTAGTCCAGCTTCATTGGTGGGTTATATAACATAAAAAATATACGCGACGAACATTAATTTTCTGTTTTTTAAAGTCAGTTAAACCATTGTAATTGCGAACATGATTCAATACCTACCGCTGTCTTTACTAATATTATAAATAAAAAATTAGTTTGTCATATTATAGTGTTCTAAAGACTATTAAAATATTTTCATAAGGTATTTTTTACACATCTTCAGTTTTATTGAATTTCAAAATTATTAAATGATACAATTGTTTCAAAACCATGTTAAAAGAGGTCAAAATGTCTTTTGTTAAAAAAAATTATTAGATAACGTATAACTTGTTTATTGAATTTAAATAAAATGTGAAAGTATTTACTTAAATTTGTAAAAAAAATATGGTACTCCGTAACAATGCTATTCCATATAATTACAGTTACTTTTTTACAAATCGCTAACAAATTTCATCGCTCTCTTACCTTAATGCCATGGCTTGTCTTGTGTAAATTTTCAAATTGCATTTAATATTTAGATAGTTGTATAGGTATGTTTGTTACTAACCTGTACGTTTTGGTTTCGTTACCTTGCTTAGCGTTTGATTTTTCTTCAATTCTGCATTAATTAAATCGTTTAGTGAAACTGGTTTTGCAATCAAATCTGTAACAAATAGACGGGTTAATCTGATAATAAATCTATTCCAAACTCAAATAAATAAATGACTAGTATTCTATAAATATATTGTCTCGGGTACTTTTGATTTTGTCTATTTTTTTATAGTTCAATACCAACTAGTAGGAAGGAACCTTCTAGACGCGACTTTGTACGTTCGTTCGACATTCACAGCGCTATTTCTCATCATCTTCTTATAAGAATAAATACATGCCAAAATGTCAGGAATTGAAACCGTAACTCTAAATACATCGAATTGTTTGGAAGTTTCTACAAACTGAACTAGAAGTTGCTGGTACACTACAGGTTAATATATAACTTATCATTACAAATAGATTACACAAACATATTATTAGTATATAAGTTTATACAAAAAGAAAAGCACACAGTTATACAATTGGCTTAGGCCCGTGTATACTTGTAAAACCGGTTTTAAGCCGAGATTAAATATAAAATAATAATAATAATAAATTCTTTATGCAGGTTACCAGGACCCACACAATTTTTATACAAATTATTACAATGATGTTACGATTATATTATAATATCAAATAGATTAATACAAAAAAAAAACAAACAACCCAACTTACTTTTTTTTTGTATATTGGCCAGCATGTTATCGATTTGAAGTATGGAATAATTTGAAATATAAAATATTCTGTAATAATATAATCTTTATGAAAGTGAGGTTACTTGTTCGTTCCTTCCTAGTGCTTTAACGGCTTAATTAATCACTATGAAATATGATACACACGTATTATATGGGATGGAGAAGAACAATAAACTATTTTTTATTTCGATCAGTGAACATATCCTGGACATGCGGAGGAAGTTGCTGGTAAGAGCTAATAGTTTAAAAATGGTGTTGTTAATAAACTGTTATAAAGGTGAACAATATTTTAAAATAACGAAATAAAATTATTAATCCAATTACAATATAAAGTTACCTATTTAAATCAATCGCTAAGGGTGCGGAAATGTCTATTAACCCAAAAAGTTAATTTTTATTCTGTCGGTAAAAGATAAATATAAATATAATATAAACACACTATAAATAAACACACTATATAACTTAACAAACCACTTATATTTTTCACACTCAAAATTCACAGTATGAAACTCTTTAATCATAATTGCTTTAAATGTGTTATTAGATACTTACAAGGGATCAAGACGGCACAGTTAATGACTATGTAGCATTGCCATCTGGGGATTTTCATCTTCTTTCATTTTTGCCTCAAATAAGGTCGTCAGACTGATTGTTAATTATGCAAATCGCGACGAGCGTGTTAATTTGTATTTATAACCTTCGTAGTTGCTGAGCAAGCTGAATCGGTAGCGCGTTTCCATAACACGTACGTAATTTGCAATTTTATTATTAACGTTTTTGTCCATACATACAAACATCTGTCTGTCAGATATGTATATATGTACGCCTGTTATCCTAATTAATATGTATTTTTTTACCATTTAAATAGCGGACCTGGTAAATGTTGTTTTGCTCCTAGATAGAATTATAATATTAGATAAGAATACCAAATTTAATGAAAATCACGTGTAATTAAGTACATAATTAAGATTGTATTCCATAAAAAAAATCAACTTCAATTGTGGAAAAACCAGATATTTTTATTTAAAAATAAAACTACAGAGCCGATTTTGATAAAATTTCTGTGGGATCAATTTGTAAGTATATCCTTTTAGATAAAAAAGCAATTCCAAATCAGTTTGCAATTTGCGAAGTTATGAGGTAATAAACATAAAAAATACAACCGAATTGATAACCTCCTTTTTGAAGTCGGTTAAAAAGTAATATTATTTTCCATTCGCTTACCTCGTATGTGTGATAAAATCTAGAGCTGGGAAATACTATTAGGTACATCTCTTCGTACACGTAATATGACTGTGTAATATCAGTCTATCGTAGGATTATATTATTCTCTGGTATCATTTCGTTAAACAAGAACATACAAGAATAATGTAAACCCAATACTAACATAAAGATATGATCGACGGAATTGACGGCAATATTCGTTGTACCGATACGGTACGCTACTCTACGGTACAGTAATATAATTCTGGGTTAATGCTACACTAGACAGTAATTAAAATGTATGGAATGAATCGGGAATGGAGGATAATTGTGACTATGTTTCTCTAGCTTTTAGGGACAAAATAGACAAGCTATAATAACATTAACATAATAAAACGGTAACGACTACTTTTGATATATATATTTATGTCTATGTCCGTCGGTAATAAAGGAAATAAAAACTTCGTAAATGGTTAAATTCTTATTTATCCTCACTAATATTGTAAATGTGAAAATGAGTTCTTTTGTTACCTTTTACCGCCTTAACTGCTTTACAAATTGCTATGAAATTTGTAATAAACATAATATACCGTTCACGCGGACGATATCGCGGGTAAAAAAAGGTAAAAAGTATGTAAAAGTAAAAGCTAGTAATATTATAAATATGTGAGTGGCTTTGCTTGTTTGTTAGCGTTTGGCGGATTAACAGTTCAACCAATCGTGAGATTTGGTATACCAAACTTTACGACGATTGTTTGAAATGTATCTACGTTATTTAACGTTACTAAAGAAAAAAAAATTTAACGTTACTTAGTCATGATATAGATTTTTCTAAATTATTTTAGGTATTTTGGGTTGTTCTGTGAGATATTTTACTACTTTATTTTAAACTAGGGTTTTTAATGGGAAGCTGATAGATAAATATATAGGTCCTATTTATATTAAGAATATGAAAATTACCTTTTGTTGAAAATGGTAGACTACCAAAGGAAATATAAGCTCGTACAATTAACATTTTAGGTATATTTAGACGGTAGTTAATAAATAAGATAAAGGCTGTCCTTTTTTGACAATAGGTATCGGTGATTACGTCTGGAATTGTAACTAAAAATAGAAAACTTGAAAGAAAACTCAAGAAAAGTTGAATGAAAACTGAGGAATTGCAATTAAGATGGAAGAATAGTAATGGCGGTTCGTTGTAAAGTTAAAAATACAGCAACAGTGTGATACATTCATTCATTGTGAATTCGAATACACAACAAGTTGGCAAATAAGTACCCACATACGACTTAAGAGCAGTTACCGTTTGCAGTAAATGGACACTTATCGTGCTCAACGATCAATCTTATTATCGGTAACGTAAACATTGTATTCTTTGAGTCATAAATAATATTCACGTACTCATTCTTTTCACATGGTATTTTATTCTCGAGGCACGTATTTGCCTTATACTCGTATGTGTACCTATATGTTTCAAACTAGCATAGTTTGAAAATGGATCGTGTTAAATTTGTATCTCTTTACTAACATTTATAGATGTCAAAGTATATTTGTTACGTCTTGACGTCATAACGGTTAAACCAATCGTTTTAAAATTTGGTATGCACGGAGTATTTGGAATGGAGAAAGATGCGAGCATAGCTAGTATATACGAGTAAATATAAATAGATATGCTCATGACTGTAACCCGAGATGGTGTAGTCAAAGGTTCTGTAGTGGACTGTTGCCGTTAATTGCGGTGGACTTCGCTCTTGAGTTGTCCACATTGTGGGCGAATAAATTCAATATGAAAGTGACCACCTTTTAGATTAATTTAACGGCGTCTGTGTTTACTAATTCGTATACTATATTCGTATACCTTTAGAGGATAAAGTGAATAGGATATCTTGTTTGCTTGTAACATAACAAATATTGTGATCAAATACGAATAAATTTAATATATCTATGTACAACAAAATCATCCTACTGATGACTATTGTGAAATTTAAAATTCTTTGTAATCAGCCATATTTGATCTTGCCAGTCGCTATCAATGAGTACAGCTCAATGGGTAGATTACTAATTATCTAAACTCTGATGCATTTTTTTATTATTCTACCGAGGAGTTTAGTTGTTTTTGTCGAACTATAAATAAAACTTTGTTGGGACAAATATGTAGAATCGGTTGTAGATATCTCGAACAGATTAGTCCTTTCATGTGGAATACCTCCAAGATTGTGACAAATGAGCTAGCCATCGTTGTATTCAATTTATCATCCAGTATTCTAAATAATAATGTTATAGTAAATTAATTAATTTAGTAATTAGTACAAGTACATACATTTACTAATACTAAAAGTATTTTCTCCCACTCATCCTTAGAGAAGTGTTAGAATACTCGAATGCGGTACTAGTAATAATTGATATACATACCTATATACTAATATTGATAAGATATATATATATATATATTCCCAACACCCGACCGAAAGAATTTTTTTAAATTAGTGCTGTGTAATAGTTCCAGTGGCCAATTAAAATCTAATTTTAAGTTTAAGAAACACTTAATTTTAAGATTATTTTTTCATACATTATGATTTAGTTTTACTTGTATAGGTAAATATACTTGAAAGAACAGTATTAAATACCTATAACTAAATTTTTGCTTACCTACATTTACTTATTTGCTTTCAGTCGCGAAAAACATAATTAAACAATGAAGAAGACTGATACAACAAAGGGAACAAAGACAATTATAATAAAACAATGAATAAATTATTATATAATACAGATGGGTTTTAGAGCCCGTCTTATTGCTTACAAGCGTTTTCTTTTAAACTGACAACTTAAATTCTATAGAGACTGAAAGGGTTCTACATAAAGAGAATAGAATAAAATAAAGCACAAATAAAATTAAATAAATAAATCTGCACTAGTTAATATTATATATATATATATATATATATATATATATATATATATATATATATATATATATATATATATATAGGTTTATATATATCTAAATCTTCTGTAATTAATAAGGATTATAAACATATTATTGTTATATTAATCTGCCGGGCCTGCCATTTGATGTATGATACAAAGTAACATTGGTAGGTTACATTTGGTGCGGGTAATAAATTATCACATAAAATTGCAGATAATGGTACTTTTATATCAAATGTTTCGATAAATAATAAAATAAGAGCAGTAAAACAAAGGAGTTGCTACAGGGCTGGGGCGTCGTTAAAATATTACGATCGTCCAATATCGGAGGATGAAATCTTTAATCGTAGAGAAGCGAGTTTTACGTGGAAGTAAAGTGGGCTCTGCGGGCCCGGACAAATAGTGAGATAAGCCACACGATTGATGGACAACAAAATTATATACCGTAAAACCAATTGTGCGTGTATGGGAAATGAGGCTATGAATTGGTGCTCAAAGAATCAATTCATTTATTACAATAAATTTTAAATATTACGTTGTTCCAAATACCTATTCCGCTTTTTCAAGCGTGTAAATTATTACCTAACATAATATTATCGTAATCTTTAATTTCCATAGTGCTGTTTAGTTGTATATGTTAGGTACTGTTTCTATTTGAAGTTGTTACTTGTTGAAGTGGGCAGTCAATTTGTTAGCTGATTCAAGTTTGAGATTAAAATGTAACCTTCGGTTTGTCATTTTGAATTTTTTTTATACAACTTAGAATGATAAACAAGCTGACGACCCACCTGATGGAAAGTAGCAATCGTCGCCTATAGATATGAGCAGTACCATGGACATAACAGAGTATACTGTTTCGCCCATGATACCCCCTATGCGTTGCCATTCCTGAGGATTCAGGTGTTATTCATCTGTACCCTGTAAATTCACGCCATATCCCACCCTTCAAACTGAGACATAGCCATGCAAACAGAACTGCTTTACGGTTGAAACACGAATGGGACAGAGGTACCCAAGCAAACGACTTTTGTACAAAGTCTCCCTCTGCTTAAAAAAATTAGGTTACAATTGTGTGTTAATCCAAAATATGGGCTATCTGTTTACGAAATTTTATTCAAATCCATTAAGTCGTTTACGTTTGAACCCTACAAATATGTTTGCAAAGTTTTATATCTTTACTCAATAGTAGCAGGTAAGTAATATAAATTTGTAGGTTTCCTTTTAAAAATTGTACTTTATTTATAAATAGTCTATATACAAATTATTACTACAGTACAGCGCTTAATAATAATAGCTTATTACGTTTAATTAGTTCTTCTAAGATGGCATTTGTAAACGACAAGGCTACAGAGTGAGATTAATAAGCTCTTAAGCGTACCGTTGGATTTATGGGCCTTGAAACACCGAACAGAATTCATAGTGAAAGTTTCATACTTTTCAGATTGCTACTTTCGCGCCTTGTTTCCGTTAGGTCAGCATTTTATTTTCCGGTTGATAAAGTACCCATTTTATTTGTACGCAAATCCGGAGGTCGGCCGCGGACCGAATGCTAGTGCTCGGTTGGTTCCCCAATTTACGAGCGGCCATAGTCAGGA